CTTTTTTAAACAGTCTTAGGGCTGGTTTCAATCCCTGGAACCACATAAAATGGCACACACATGTAGTTTCAGGAGTCAGGACGTGAAGACAGAAATATTATCAGAAGTTCAACTCAACTATATGAGACCCTCTCTCCAAAAACTAAATTACATGAAAAAGTTTAAAGTGGGGGCTGGAGAGATGACTCAGTAGTTAAGAGTAGTTAAGAACAGCACTGACTGTTCTAGACGACCTGGGTTCAATTCCCAGCACCCATATGCCAGCTCACAACTGTCTGTAAATCCAAGATCTGACACCCTCACACAGACATACATGTACGCGAAACACCAATGCACATAAAATAAATAAATTAAATTTAAAAAGTTTAAAGTATACAAATTCTGTTTGGTTTGTCGAAAACTAAATCCTTCCATGAACTAAGCATTTACACAGCTGTCCTTTGTTGAAAGTAAATTATGTCTCAAAATTATAACCATAAAGTAATGTTATGATTTATAATAAAGATAGTGGGAGAGGTGTGTAGACTCAGAACTAGGAGAAAAATTAAACCCCAGGAAAGATTTCCCAAGCTATTTAGGTCAGAGACTGGGTTTTAGGAGAAAAGCTGACACCTGCCTTTTACTAGACCCTGAGCTTAATACCACTCTCATCTCCAGACTTGGGGGCTGTGAGTGAAGAGTGGAGCACCTGGTGACCATGAGCAAAAACAGAAACTAAACTCAGCAATGTCTGCCTGAACCCAAGAAGCCCAGGAGAAAGAAGGCTGTGTTAATGCTGGGGAACCCAGGGCGGGTGGGTTACAGCGTGTGGACTGTGAGATGATGCAGGAGGCTGCAAAGCTGGAGGCAGAAGAAAAGGAAGTAAGAAAAACAGAAACAAAAAGCCAAGCAGAGAAAACAGGGCATGTCTGATAAAAAAAAATTGTTTTAAGCACTTGGCAATTCAGAAAGTTGAATTCATATCTGAGCCAGCTTGCTCTTCTAGCTAAAGGAATGTATGTATGTATGCACATATACGTGTATGTTTCGTTTTTCTTGAGACAGGGTTTCTTTGTGTATCCCTGCCTGTCCTGGACTTTTTATAGACCAGACTGGCCTTGAGCTCACAGAGATCTGCCTGCCTCTGCCTCCGAGGGCTAAAGGCATGTGCCATAGCGCCTTGCCCAGGGAATAAATGGGTGTTTTGTCTGTGCAGCAGCAAATGTGTGCCTGGTGACTGAGGAGGCCAGAAGAAAGCACCAAATCCCCTGGAACTGGAGTGACAAACGGTCATGGGCTCCCCTGTGGGTGTCGGAAATCAAGCCCAGGCCTTCTGGAGGAACAGCCATTGCTCACTGCTTTTAACTGCTGAACCATCTCTCCAACCCCACGGAATATTTATTTTCTTCTGTGCTTTATAAAAAAAGACATTATATTTATTTATTTTGGGGGGGGGGCACAAGCCACATATGTGAGGTCAGAAGACAACCTGCAGAGTTGGTCTGTCTTCCTACCTTGTAGGTCCTAAGGATTGAACTCAGGTCATAAAGCTTAGCAGCAAGTGCCTTTAGTTATTAAGTCATGTCACCAACCCATATGTGTGGGGTTTTTGTTTGTTTGTTTGTTTTCTGAATTGTTTTTGACCAAGAACTCACAATGTAGGGAAAGCTGGCCTCAAACTAACATAGATCCAACTGCTTCTGCTTCCCAGCTCTGGAATCAAAGATGTGCACCAGCATACCCATTGGTTTCTTTTTTAATTTTGATGCAGTAGTCTTTTGATACAGGGCCCAGAATTCACAATGTATCTTGGCCAGACTAGAACCTAAAGTAACGCTAGTGCCAAAGCCTCTGCCTCTGCTCCAAAGCCCAGTTTAGCCATGTATCACCACACCTGGATAAAATATTTTTTCACTAAAAGGGGAAAGGGATTGTTGCAAAACTCTTTAGACCTGCTTTAAATCCTGAGAACCCAAAAAGCCAGGGTTGATGACATGCGCCTGCAGCCCCAGGCCTGGGGGACAAAGACAGGTGAATTCCAGAAGCTCAGTGGCCAAGGCAATCTGCCTAGCCAAATCCATGATTTCAGGTTCAATGAGGAACACTGTCTCAAAAGCTAAAAACAGGAGTTGGAGATATGGCTCAGAAATTAAGAGCACTGGCTGCTCTTCCAGAGGTCCTGAGTTCAATTCCCAGCACCTGCACGGTAGCTCACAACCATCTGTAATGGGATCCAATGCCCTCTTCTGTCATGCAGATGTGCATGCAAATAGAGCACTCGTATACATAAATAAATAAATCTTTAAAGAAAAAAAAAAAGCTAAAGGTGAAAAGCAGTTAAGATAATTAAGACACCAGCATGGATCTGGGGGCCTGTGCACGAATATGAGAGCACACACACAGGCATTCACAGAAAAAAAAAAAAAAAATTAGTATCTCAAAAGAATATGGAGCAAACTATGTACCACACTAGGGGGAAATTACAAATCTACTGTCCAGTGAGTCAGTCTAGCTTCATGAAGCATTTGCTAGTTGCTGTTAAATTCTTTGTTGGGGGCTCTTGGGAGGCAGAAGTAGGTGGATCTCTATATAAGTTTGAAGTCAGCCTGGTCTACAGAGTTCTACGACAGCCAAGGCTACACAGAGAAACCCCCATCTCAAATAAATAAGTAAATAAGTAAATAAATATCCTTTGTTGATGTTCTTTTGTGTAGTGAGAATTTTGTGATTTTGGTTTCTTAAAAAAAAAAAAAAAAAAAAAAATGACCAGCACAGTGGTATACACCTGTAATCCCAACACTCTGGGAGGCAGAGGCAGGTGGATCTGTGAGTTCAAGGCCACCCAGGTCTACAAAATGAGTCCCGGACAGCCAAGGCTACACAGAGAAACTCCGTCTTGAAAAAACAAAACAAAACAAAAACGAAAACAAAACAACTCACAGAAATGTAAGGGGAATATGTTTTTGTTTCAATCCCAGGTGTGGGGATATAAGGCTGCTTCACAGCAGCTGACTGTGATTTCTCTAATGCTCTAGAAGAATCATGGTTTTGCCTGCTACAGATAGTTTCTGTGAGTGGGTAACATTTGGATTTCTGGGAACTTTTCAGAAGATACATAATGCTAGGGGCCCCAAGAGGCAGTGTTGCTGTTGGTGGTTGTTTGGTGGTTAGAAGTTGGTTGCTGCTGGTTACAGTTTGTCAAGTAGTTGTGCACAAAGAAAGGAGAAGAGGAAATTAGATGTCCTGATAGTAAGGATCAAACTTGCTCCAAGGAACTCAAAGCCCCTAATCAGCAGGAAGTAGTCTAAGGATAACTTTGCCACCTTTCCCCTCTCCCCTTTTTTCTCTCCTATCCAGTGTTAGAGGGTTAAAAGGGGTGGAGAAGGTTGGAAGACAGAAAAAGGAAACCACAAAGTAGCAAACGCTGGCTACAGGTTTTTGTTTGTTTGTTTGTTTGTTTAGACAAGGTCTCTCTACCTAGAGGTCTGCCCTGGCCTGGAACTCACTATATAGACCAGGCTGGCATTGATTACAGGCATGTGCCACCATGCTTGGCTATTGTATACATTTGATTTAGTCATTTATTGCTGGGATGGGGATTGAACTTGGGACCTCACACATAGGAACTGCTCTATCTCCAGTCCTTTTTGAATTTTTGAGTTTCTCACCAAGTTAACCAAGCTGGTCCTGAGCAGACGTTGAATTGTGATGTTCCTTCCTCTCGGACTCCTACTTACAGACTTGTACCACCAGTGCTGGCCTAAATGTATTTAAGATTATATTGCAATGTTGACTTAGCCTTGAACTTGTGATTGTCCTGCCTCAAACTTCCAAATAGCTTGATTATAGGCATTCACCCTACCCATCCCCAATGCTTTTGCTTTTTATGGTGTTGCTGGGGACTGAGTTCAGTTTTATACACATTACCCCAGCACTGACCTGACCACTAGGCCGTAGGACTAGCTTCATCACTTTACCCAGTTCCAGAATCTAAGGTGGAATTGAGGCTGAGGAGCTACAAATCAAGAGCGACAGTGGGCAAACATTTTCTATAAAGGACTAGGGAGTACCCTTTCAGGATCTGAAAGACATGTAGCTGTCCCAACTATTCTGCTTTTGCACAAGAGTAGACACAGACAACACATAAAGGAATGGCAACATCGGCAGCTGTTTAACAGCGGCTGTTTCCGGTCTACAGCAACGGTGCAGTGGTTCTTTGTAGCTCTGTATTGAGAACATCAGAGGAGCCCATAAGATCACAAATGCCCAAGGTTTTCTTGGGGGGAGGGGAAGGGATGGTAAACTTTTCCTATATAGCCCAGGCTAGCCTTTAATCTTTGATCCTCTTTCGTCCTCCTCCAAAGTGCTGGGATTATACACGGGTAGAAAGTTGCTTTTATTAAAAAAAAAAAAAAAAATTATGTGTAAGAATATCTTGCTTGTATGTATGTCTGTGTACCATCTGCAATCTTGGTACCCAAGGAGGTCAAAAAAGGGCATCTGATCTCTGGAACTGGAGTTACGCATGGTTAGCTGTGAGCTGCCATCCACATGGCTGTCAGGAGCCAAATACAGGTCCTCTTTGTTTTTTTGTTTTTTTTTTTTTTTGACAGGATCTCTCCACAGAGCCCTGGCTGCCCTTGAACTCATAGAGATCTGCGTGCCTCTACCTCCTGAATGCTGGGATTAAGGGCTTGAGCCACCACATCGGGCCAGAACAAGTACTCTTCAGTCTTCTGTGTTACCCAGACTGGCCAAGAACTGAACTCCTAAATTCAGCCTCCCAACTAGCTTGGGCTGTATACTCCAAGATTTTTAGAGCTAGTAGGTTGACTATCTGATGTACATTCAGGGCTGCTCTAGTCAACTTCAGGTGTTCACACTGCTTTAATAGGGTGATAGGGGACAGATGAATGGACAAGCATCCTGAGATAAACTTGAGAACTAGAGTAATATTGGAGCCGTGGTTTTTGTTGTTGTTTTGTTTTTTGCCCACCCAACAAATTAAATGCTTCTAATACTTAATTAAATGCTCTTTATTTGAGTTTTTCATGTGCAAATGTCCACAGTGACTTGCCCAGCCCAGCAAGGTGACCACGAGAAGGATCACAACCAGGAAGTCCTCTACCTAGCCCTCTTTCTCCAGCCATTCCTTATAGGCCCCAGCATAGTTCCGAGCCCTGTGGAGAAAAAGGGGGTTGAGGGAAGGACAGACCCAGGAGGCAGTTCCCGGTCAGTTCCCAGCTAACAAGCCTCATACCCTTCGCATACCCTGTGTATCCAAGACCTTGTGCCAGCTGTGTGGCCTGCAGGCCCCTCCTGCCCATCTGACAGAAGAAAATAAGATTCTTGTCTTCTAGCTTTGGCTTCTCAGCACAGTATAAAGCCTGAAAAGCAGCTGGGTCCATGTGCAAGGCGTTTTCCAACTCAGACACTGAGAGAGGACAAAATGGAAAGCCGGTGGCACACTGAGGTTCAAAGGACGGGCCTGAAAGAGCGGAGTCCCAGCAGTGGACAATCTGCAGATTGTCCCAACAATGCATGGTGGTCACCCTGACCTCCTACCAACCTCACAGACAAAGAACCGCCTACCAGCACAGGAAGTCAGGCCAACAATGCAGGCATTTCCCGAGTGGTAAGGAGGCAATGGAGGATCAGGTAGATTAGGGCATAGTTTCTGGGAAGCCAAACATACAGCTACTGATTTGCGCCTCTTTGCCACCCGCTATCCCCTCAAACTGGATAAGCTAGTTCCGCTGCCAGGACCCGTCTCCATTTAGCCTTTCTCTGGGGAACCTGAGCGTTGGCTTGAGCAAATACAACACCACCCCTATCTCTACCAGCTCTGCCCCCATCCTAAGCGAGGCCCCTTTGGCTAACACCATCATGGACTATGCCCTCTGCCAACATGGGAAATCCTGTACCAGGGATGTTGAGTGCCCCAGGGATGGTACCAGCTGCTGCCTCCTCCCGAGAGCGAACATCGAAGAGCCGGGCCCTGCCTGAGGCTAGGAGCGAACGGAGCTCAGAGAATGAGACTGTAGACACTGAGAAAGAGGACACAAAAGACTTGAGAACTGGGGGACAAGATCCTTGCAGCCTTTGTACCCCAGCTCTGGCTGCTTCCCCACCCTGTGGCGCTGTTCATAAGGACTGAAGCCACACCCCTATGCTCTTCTCTCCACAAACAACCCTACCCGGGGGACCAGCATACACCTCACCCTCACAACCCCGGGGGTTCTCAGGTACCTCTAGTCATGGTTTCAGCAGTACCAATTGCGTGACTGTGACACAGGAATTCGGCCTGAAGCATCTCACTCTGTCCCCCTGAGCCCAGCCAGAAAGACCGGAACCGGAAGCAAAGGCATGGCCCCCAGAGGACACACGCAGAGCTCCGGAGCACCTGTCTGTGATACCTCTAACACCAGCCCACAGCTGAAACCTTTTAAGACTGCCTGGTGTAGGCCGGAAATTGATATCCAGGTTTGGCACAGGTACCAGGACTCTGGGTAATGAGTATAGAAATAGTAGCACCCCACCCAAAGGTTGACCCAGCCCTTACTGGTCAAAGAGTAATATGTAGTCTCCCTTCCCCCAGGGCCCCACAAAAGGAGGAAAACGGACAACTGTGGCTCTAAACAATTTTATCTTAAAAAAAAAAAAAAAAAAAAAAAGGAAAGAAATAAAAAGAACCATCCCCAAGATGGGGAAGGCTCCCAGTGAGCCTGTTCGGGGTTCTCCCTGGCTCCAGAAGCTTCTGCAGAGGCCTCAGCTGCTCACTGAGCCCTCCCTGCTCAGGGGATAGCAGCCACCTAGCACCCTTCCCCACCTCCTGAACAAGCCCACTCCCCAGAGGACTCGGATGCACACCTTCACTTCTGCTCCAGAGCAAGGAAGAACCAGTACAAGTGCTAGACCCACAGAGTGCCCACGGACCCTCTGCTGGGCGCTCTAAGCGAGCACAGGGCAAGCCCAGGTTTAGTGTCCACGGTCCATCAAGGGGACAGCACATGCAATGTGCAAAAGGGGCACCAGGGCCCAGGGACTGCACGGTGGGAGCAGGCAAGGCTGTCGGTGCATGTCTGTGTCCTGTTTCACACCACTCACTGCAGGCCACCACACCACGGGCCTCAGGTCAAAGACACACTTGCCAAACTCCCCCGAGTCCCACGCCAGAAGTAGGCAGTGAAGGGAAGGGGCATGGGAATCGCCTGCTGCTTCCAGGCTATCTGCAGTTCTAGGGCCAAAGCCCGAGTCCCCATAGTTAGTTGCTGTCGTTCTTGATGACGACCTCTAATCCATGGTGCCGTAACTGAGCTCGTAGTAGCAGGTTCTTGTTTTTAAGATCTTCCACCTTCGAGAGAGAAGGCAGTAATGGAAACGGTTAGGGAAAAGGAAGAAGACACCGCCAGGAGGAACAATGTCAAGTGTTTTCTAGGGAATCCAGACGTCACCAGTGGCCACAGGGCTGTCAAGGGGCCCGTCCTGTCACTAGTCTGACCTGCTGTCTAAGCACATCGTTGTCTAGCTGCAGCTGATCTAACCCCTGCAGCTCTTCAGACAACCGGTGGTTGCTCTGCCGAAGCTCCTGGATATAATCGCAGGCTTTGGAGAGGATCCCACCTTTGCTCTGCAAGGCAAGGCCAACAAGATGAGGACCAAGTCTTCCAAGACCTCACTTACTTTCACACTCACACCTTGGGGCTGCTTCCCCCCAGAATCATGACCCAAGGTCTCAGGGTATTATGAAGAGGGCTGCCATGTACACTCTACTCGCCACCATTTCTGGAAACAATGCCAGGAGTCCCTGCCCGTTACCAGGGTCTTGCCATGACCTGGCCAGACTTGGTACTCTCCATAGAGCAGTCTGGGATGATTTTGGACAGCTGTACAATCCAGTTGTTGATCTTGTCCCGGCGGCGGCGCTCCACTGTGGGGCAAGGCGAAGCACACGGTGACCCAGCGACCAAAAATGACCAGCGCTTCCCCCTCCCAACACTGCAATTCCCAAATCTCCTTCCGCTGCTCCTGGCTTCACAGCTGAGTATCGCATACCTTCATTGTGCTGGGCCCTACGCTTCTCATCTCGAGTTGTCCTGGGAGCCTCCGACTTCCTGACAAGAGTTCAGGGTGGCCAGATCAAGGAAAAGACAAAGAAGCAAACGAAAACAAGAGTGGTGTTCAGGGTAAGATTTACCTAAGACTTAGCAAGAATCGAAACCGCTCAATAATTAATTCACTCACGGGGAGTAAGGGTGAGTCCTGGGGGCAATTGACCGCTGGCTCCCTCCCTGCAATACTTCTTGTGGTGACATCATCACAAAGAATTGACCTGGGAAGGTATGAGGTAGGTTTCGTCAGGATCTGGGATGAGGGACTTCACCAAGACCTTGGGACTCTTTTGAGAACACCCCACCAGCTTGCAGAGCAGGCCAGACTCACTACGTGTTCAGATCTTAGTAACTGCTAAGAGCCACGTGCTGAAGCCCAGGCCGGCAGTGACATCCCAGAGCCCGGCCCCTCCAGCCTCCATCCTTGCGCAGCGTCTCACCAGTGCTGGGCGGGGTGGCCTGCCCCAGCAGTGCCTCTGAGCCCTGGGTGGTGACCACAGCGGTGGTGCTCCCCGATGCGGTGCCCCCTGACCCGTCTCCCACGGCGGTGCTGGGAAAGTAAGTGTAATGTGTCTCAGCGGCCGTTCCCTCCGTGTCAACTGCATCGTCACTGGTGAAGGCGCCCTGGATCACTGCCTGAGAAGAGAGGAGAGCAGAGCCCAGTCAGTCAGGGACTCAGCCCCTCTCTGCCACCCTGAGTTTCTATCCCTGAGCAGAAGGACGGAGAGACATAACTGGAGTTTTAAGATTTATTTTTATTTTTTTAAGATTTATTGATTATTTATACAACATTCTGCCTGCACACCAGATCTTACTATAGATGGTTCTGAGCCACCATGTGGTTGACTGGGAATTGAACTCAGGACCTTCAGAAGAACAGCAAGTGCTCTTTACCTCTGAGCCATCTCTCCAGCCCCCTTAAGATTTATTTTTATGAGTATTTTGCCTGCGTGTGCGGATATGCACTATGTGTGTCTGATGCCTGCGGAGGTCAGAGAAGGGCATTTGATCCCCTGAAACCAGATGGCAGTAAGCCACCATGAGGTTATCAGGAACTGAACTCCGGTCCCCTGTAAGAGGAACAAGTGCTCTTAACCACTGAGCTACCTCTCCAGCCCCAACTTCATGTTTCTTAGGCATGATCTTTGTAGATGGCAAAGTAATGCCTCAATGATAAGAGGTCGAACACACCTGAACCCGGTGTTTTGGGCCCAAGAGGCCTGAGGTGCACCCTCCTGTTCCCAATTCCACCCCTCCTTCCTATTGGTTCCCTAGCTCCTCTTACTGCTAAGAGCTCTCTGGCCCTCACAGCCTGTCGTCTGTACCTGGGTCATGGACTGAGCGGCAGGGTAGCCACTGATAGCGCCAGTGCCCTCTGTCTGGCCATCCAGCTGCCCTTCAGACACTTGGATCACTCTGTACATCACCTAGAAGAGACGAAGGCGGGGAGAGGTGGGAAGAAGACAAGAGTAAGTGTCCAGAAGCCGAGGCCCTCTCAGAAAGGGCCTCTTGTACTGAGTCCCAACAATCTTTCAAAGACACAGGCTCAGCTATTGTCTCTTCTTTCCCCATTCTGAGGCTTTAGCACACCCAGGCCCACACCAGTCTCTAATCTAAGCCTCTGGTTAATGTTTCACCCCGCAGCACACAGCTTCGCCTCATTCTCCAAGCCACAGCTCTCCAAAATACATACACACGCCTCCCTTAATCCCAACCCCTGGAAACATCTGCAGCCCCCCGGCCCCTCCCTTACCTGGCCCCCATTCTCAGTTCGGAAGACGTACTTGACGTTGGGGTCAGGGAAGGTGGCAGCTGACTGGATGCTGGCGATGGCTACACTAGTTGGGTCCTCTCCAGTAGCCACTGCACCTAAATCAACAGAGGCAAACAAAGTCTACCGTGTTGCCTGCCTTTCTCCCTGGGCTACTTACACGTCACTTAAAAGAAACATGGTATGTGGGAGATGGGCCAGTCAGCTGAAGAGAGAGGCTATGACCAGCTCTTGGTCCTGATTTTAATATTCACCTTCCTGAATCTGCACCGTCCCCTCTTCAGTTTCAGCTGTTTTCTGCTGCCTATTTGTGGTGAAACAAAAACAAACAAACAAAAAAAACCCAAATGGAAGCATTCACAACAGATGTTAGGTTAGGCTAGATAACAACAGTAGTATTTACTGCTGGTCGTGGTGGCACATTCCTTTAATCTCAGCACCCAGGAAGCAGAGGCAGATAGAATTCTGTGAGCTTGAGGCCAGCCTGGTCTACATAGTGAGTTTCAGGACAGCCAGGGCTGTGTAGGGACATAATCTGTCTCAAAAAATTCAAACAAAAAACCAAAACCTAGGTTTTGCAAGCCAGATTTTTCTTTATGTAGCCTTGGCTGTCCTGGAACTTGTTCTGTAGACCAGGCTAACCTTGAACTCAGAGATTAGTCTGCCTCTGCCTCCTGAGTGCTGATATTAAAGGTCTGTGCCACCACCGCCCAGCATATTATGTTGATACTAATAACAGCACATGAACTAAACAGCACTACAGTTTTATAGACAGGGAAACTGAATCACATAGCTGGTAGGTGACAGAGCGAGGAGACCTGAACCCAGGTCTTCCTGAATCTAATACTTTTCGCCATTTTTCACTCTCCCAGGCCATCCCTCTCTCCTCCCAGACACCACTGCTTCACTTACCCCTTCATCTCTCTGGGAGGGGCTCATCCGAGGAACTGGTCTTCTTTTGGAGGTCTCTGTAGCTCCTGCCTTAAAGGCTTGAGTGTTAAATCCTGGGGCAGAGTGCTAAATCCTGGTGGAAATCATAGTTTGCAGTGAGGCTCGGCTACTGAATAGCTTTCCAGGTTCTAGAGCCGAGGCTCCAAGAAGACAGAGCCAGGAAAATGAACCAATCATCTGCAAAGGACAGTCACCTCCCCAGTACTGACAGGAGGGAATGGCCTGCAGGGACTGAAAAAGCAACTCTTCATGGGACATGTGGCTGGATGCTTAACGTTCAGGGGACAGAGATGGGAGGGGTGCTGCAAGTTTGAGGCTAGCCTTGACTCCAGAATGAGACCTTGGAGAGAAAAAGAACTAGATGTGCTCGCCCTGTCTGTCACACCTATGCTTAGGAGGTGGAGGCAAAAGAATTAGGAGTTCAAGGCCATCCTGGGTTGCAAAGCAAATCTTAGGCTAGGATGGGCTATAAGAACTTGTCTCAAAACAAATAAACAAAAAACCAGCATGAACTGGAAGATGGCTCAGGGGCAAAGCACTTGGAATCAAAGTCTAACTCGCTCTTCGGATCCCAGGTGCTGCAGGAGCGGTGGGTTACCGTGCAGACATGGCGAAGTCCAAGAACCACACCACACACAACCAGTCCCACAAAGATACGAATCTCTTAAGGGGGTGGACCAAGTTCCTGAGGAACATGTACTTTGCCAAGAAGCACAACAAAAAGGCCTGGAGAAGATGCAGGCAAACAACGCAAAGGCAATGAGTGCGTGAGCAGAGGCCATCAAAGCCCCGTGAAGCCTGCGGCCTTTAAGCCCAAGATGTCAAAGGGCCCCAGCTTTCATGGTTCACACCAAGCTTGAGAAGGGGATTCAAAGCTACATGGTCAACAGTCGTAGGCTCTGCCAACCAAAGCCCAAGGTTCAAACCAAGTCAGAGGCCGAAGCTCCAGCTAAGGCCCAGGCTTCAACTCCTGCTCAGGCTCCCAAAGGTGCCCAGGCCCCTGTGAAGGCCCCACAGGAAAGGCTTCTGCTAACAGGTGGACTGGTGTGACACACCCACCTACAAACTATTTACAGATGACCAGTGTCTTGTGCTGTTTTTACAAATAAACCTGAGGCAAGATCTGTTGCTGAAAAAAAAGAAAGTCTAACACTTGTGTCCTAAAACCTACACAAGAAAAGGTTGCGGCAGTGCAAGCATAAGCAATCACAGCATACCTCGATGGAGAGGTCATCGGTAGATTAAGTGGCAAATGCAGCGGTGAAGACACTCTGTCTCCATCAAGGTGGACAGACAAAAACTGACACCCTAAGACTGTCCTCTGACCAAAAGAAAGGCTGTTAAGATAGCTTAGCAAGCAGGGGGTGGTGGCACATGAAATTCCAGTACTTGGGAGGCCCAGGAACGTGGATCTCTGAGTTCAAGGCCAACCTGGTCTACAGGCTACCTTAAGAAAAAAAAAAAAAAAAAGAAGGTGGGGGGAGCCAGGTAGTGGGTAGGAGGACCTCAGTGAGTTCAAAGCCAGCATGGTCTACAGAGAAGTCCAGGATAGCCAAGGCTATGTATAGAGAGATCCTGACTCAAAATAAAATATCAAAAAAGAAATCCTCAAATCTAGAAAGGGAATTTTTTTTTTCCCCCATTGGAAAACCATTACTAAACACAAAACCTAGATTTGGCTCTTGGGCACCATTCTACTGCCAGGGCTCTTGTTGTGGAGGAGTCCAGATTTACAGCATCTGTTACAAACACTGCAGCCCAAGTGCATCATATTCAAGGCTTCTTTATTTTATTCATCAAGGCTTCCTGTAGAGCAGCAACACAGTTGCTAAAATGTTGCCATGACAACTCCAAATCAACTAAGCCTCAGGAGAAAGGGGTGGGGGGAACCAACTCCAGGCTCAGGGTTCTGAGGGAGAAAAGACAATGGGGGAGGAATCCATCTACAATGTTCCTGCCTTAGGACTTTTGACACCCCGCCAGAGAACCGGAAAAACAAAGAACCGAGCAGACAGATGCCTCCAGAAAAAAAAAAAAGCAAAAAACAGCTGCACAGTACAAAGCAATAAAATAATCTCAACAAGAAAGGACAAATTTTTGTAAATTCTCTACCGGTAAGATTCCCCCAAACCTTTCTAATCCGAAGAAAATCTTAGTTTAGTGGATAATAAACCTTGGAAAGGGCAAAGAAAATGGTAACAACAAAAAGGAACTGAAAGTGAAACTGCCAGTACAGAGTAATACTGCAAAAGGGTGGCTGCCTCAGGGTTTAGAGACCACCTCGGTCTCCATCCTCAAACGCGAGGACGAGCCTCTCCGAAGCTCGTAGCCTGGGCCTGCAGGAGGAGGCAGTGAGGGCAAGGCACAGGAGGCAACTGTATAGCCCACAGCTGTCAGAGGAACTTCTGAGGCCACCCAGCAGCGGCGTTAGGCTACTTACTCAAATCTTGGCTGCACATCCGGAAGCGTTTCCTGAGCATTAAGAATAGGTGACACGGAAATCAGCCTAGGATGTTGTGGTTTGCACGCTCAAAAGGAGGGCCCGGCAAACGCCCTCACCCAAGCACGGACGCAAAGGCAAAAAAAAAAAAAAAAAAAAAAAAAAACCACCACCAGATCAAGTTCCCAAAGAAAACAGGCGCCAGGACCTTGCCTGAGAACGACGCGTCTCCCTGCAGGCCCTCCAACTGGTAGTAGGCGCTTGGAGGAGCTGGGCACCCGCCAGGCGCGAGCCCCGAAACCCGCGCGGTGACCCCCGCCGGCTCGGCCGCGCTCGCCCGCGCCCGGGCTGCTCCGCCGGGGACCTCCCCCGGGCCTGCGGGCTCACAACTGGACTCCGCGGGGAGGTGGGACGCGCGCACTCCGGGGCAGGGAGCGAGCTCGGCCCACAAAGCAGGACAGAGATAAAGAGGCAGGCGCAGTCCCCTCCCCCAAAACAAAGGCTTCGGGCCCCGCCGGCGCCGGGCCCGAGCAACCGAAGCAAACCCAGAGCCGCCCCGCCTGCCCGGTCCACCTCGTCTCCGAGCTCCGGCCGGCTCCTACGCACTCACCGGCCCAGGCCGCCTCAGTCGCCAATTTCCCACGACAGCTTTCTCCCTCTTTGGAGCTAGGTCTCGCCATAGACAGCTGCTCATGCGCAGTCCCGGCCTGCGGCCATGTTGGTGAGGGGCGGAAGTGTCTCTTCGACCCGCCCAGCCTACTGCCGGCCCCAGGGCCGCCCCGTTTCCGTTCGCTGCAAACTTGATGCGAGCTAAAGCTAACGAGGGTGATGCGGTTGGTTTTTTTTTTTTTTTTTACAGGCCACGAAGAAACGCGATATCCTGGGGACGCTGCTAGAGTCCTAGCTGTTTTCAGCAAGAACCACAAAGGAGCGAGTAAATTGGACTTCCACCTTAGTGCTAGGCGGAGCCCTTTCCGGTCCAGTAAAAGGAAGTAGACGTTCATAGGCGCCATCTTTAACAAGGGCAAGTTGGGACGCCATCTTGGACCACAGCATCATTTTGAGGGGTTTCCAACTGGACTTGGGACATTCTGGCCATACGTAAATCTGGTTTATTCCTTTGTATTAGCGTCAGCAATATTCCAAAGACCTCAGAGCTTCCAGTTTCCCTGAGGCTCATATTTTTGTAAAAACAATTTTGATTACCATTTTTTCTCACCTAGGGCATATACCTAGAATGATTTTGGAATAGTGAAGTATATAATGGCTAAAATTGAGACTACGAAACCATTCAGACCCTGAACTGACCATTTTTTCTTTTTTTCTTCCCCTCTGTGTAATCCTGAACTGTCCTACGTGGCCCAGGCTTGCTGTGAATACACACAGATCCTCTGGCCTCACCCCACCCCTTTCGTGGTGGAACTAAAATCATGTACCACCACATTCTGGAAACGGCTACTTCTAACTCTGAGATCACTGATAAGCATTTTTACTAAATTACAGCTTAATTTCCTCATCTGTAAAATGGACATGCCAATACGAGCTTCACCAAATTAAGTGGATTAAGTAAATCCAAGAGCAAAGTTTTTATGTACACAAATCTAGCCCAATTCCTGGCATTAGATGAACATTATGTAAAACAGGTTTCTCTTCCCCATTTCTTGACCATCATGAACCCAGTTCTGCTTTCTAGCTACTGGTTTCCATGACAACTGAGGAAGAATATTTAAAGAAGAAAAAAAATGAGATATATACATTTTGACAACATCGAAATGTGATACCTTCCACCCAAACCTTTAATAAGAGTAAATCCATACACTATTTAAATGTTTTTTTTTAAATCAGCTTTTATTACCAAACAGTCACCATTGCTAAATGGAGCCTGAAGCCCCAGCCTGTACAGAGAAACAGGGCCAGGGTGCAGGCATTCCATTTTCCCGAAAATAAGAGGAGGTTATTCTAACGGGAAAAAGAAAGACCAGAGAGATCTGTACAGGACCTCTTCGGCAAAATAATTGAAGGTAGAGGGAGTTATCCATTTCCTTCAGCAAACACTGAGGGCTTGGAAACGTTTCTCCTAATCTGGAACTAAGAGGGTCAGGAGATAGCCAAAGATCTGGAAACAAAAAAGGGGTGAGCGATTCTATAACGGTCCTGTGTGTTTCCCCCATCTACCCTGGGTTTCTCTGAAGAGAAGTTCACAGCCTCAGAAGAGGGCAGGAGTTTGGCTGGAATTCCCCCTCTGTGTTTAATCACAACTTCATGGGAACAAGACCTTTCTCTATTTTTTAAGACTCTACTTAGATATAAGTGCTTTTGCGTGATAACACAAACTCAAGTAAAACCACCAAGGCAGCGAGTGTCTCCCATGGTCGCAAATGGCTGGAGGACCCACACTATGGAATTGGGCTCTTGAGGAGGCAAAGACAGCACGACAGGTTGATTCTTAGGCCCTTTTGTCCACACCTAATCACAGCCCTTCATCCTTCCCACAGTTAGTCTGTGTTTCAAAAGCATATGTTTGACGCTGAGGGGCCACAGGAGGGGCAGGGGGATGAAGCTCTCTCGGGGGCAGACTAAACCGACTTCTGGGCTCAGACCCTTCTGTGCCTTCTGGGGGGAGTTCCAGACAGCTCAGGGGCCGGGAAGAATGGGCAGGAATCATGGTACAAGGAGAGGTTCTGGAGTGGAGGCTATAATCCCCACCTCCAGTACAGGTTTGGGTCCGCCGGACTCCTCCAGTCTCAGTCCTCTGGCGTTCCCGGGCCAGGGCCACAGCAGCATCAAAGGAAAGACTACCCCCATTCCTCCAAGAAGCACGAGAACCCCAAGCCCTTTCTCCAGGAGTCCCATCAAGCCTGCCAGGCCTCGGACATGGGCTTGCGGGTGCTACGTGGATCTTGCTACACATTGCACTGGGCACTTTGGCAAACTGTGGTTTGGGGGGCACTACGGGAACAGAGCGGACCTGTCGGACCTGAACTAGGGTGGAAGCTAGGCGCATGCCCACACCACCAGCTGAACCACAGGGACAAGAATACAGGTCACATGCCTCAGAACTGAGCTGTCCCTCAGCCTCCATCTCTGGCTCAGATGGCTGTGGCATGGTTTGTTCCATCTCACAAGTCTGTTCGTTGACTTCTTCTGCACCGTCAACCTCCAGGAACTCGACCCCTGGCCCTTCAGGGAGGGACCCCTCTTCTGAGTGGTCACCGACAGCTCTTTTGCCTTCAGTTTCTACATCTATACGTTTTTGTTCCTTGCTGACCTCCCCTTCCTTCCCATCATCATCTTCTTGACTTCTATCTTCACCATGTCCTTGGTCTTCTCTTGACTTTTGGTCACTGTTCCCTCTCAGTCCCTTGATCTCATCCTTCCCGCATTTCTCGGCCTCTTGTTTGTATACAACTTCCCAGTTCTCCCCAGGAACCAGGTATTCCTGGATCACATGCTCTGGGTCTATTCTGGATTCTACTGGGATATCCTCCCCCTTTCCAGCTCCTTCTTTTCTCCCGGTGTCTTTTTCCTTCTCCTCTTTGCCCTGTTCTCCTCTTATTCCCTCCACATCCTTAGTCTGCTCTATACTTCCAACCTCTTGACCTTTGGAATTTTCTTCCTTGGCCTCTATCTTTTTACTACTGTCTTCTTCAAAGCTACCCATCACCTTTTGGCTGGTTTCAGCCTCCCCTCCTCCTCCATCAGCCTTTTCAGCCTCAATTTCAGTCTCTGGTGTTGCCTCTGCTTCATCCCTGTTATCTGATGTGCTTCTAGGCTCAGCCTCCTTGTCCTGTTTAGTTTCCCAGCATGCCTGCTCTCCATCAGCCTGTGCAGGAGGTTTCCCACACATTGCAGCCTCTTCCTCCAGACTCCCTACATCTTCCCAGTTCATGGGTCTAGGCCTCTGAAGGGGACTCAGATCATCATAGGCACTCAGGAAGACTTCTTCCCCACTCTCGTCTTCCACTTCAGGTGTGGGGCCGGCAGAATCAAGGGAACAGCAGTTAGGAGCCAGGACATACTGTGCATCATCCAGAGACAGATCATCCAAGGGTGGCTCCACGGAGAACTCTTCCACCTGTAGGCATAGCATCAAAGCTAAGGACCAGGTAGCCCTATCCACTCTCTGGGTCACACACTACCCACATACCCAGCATTTCTCTTCCTTACCTGAGGCCCAACTCCCAGGAGCTCCTCCAGGTAGCCCATCCCAGGGTCGTCCTCCCCGAGGGAGAAAGCTGCTGCTCCTGCTGTTCCTGCGACTCCTGCCTTGGCCACCTCCATATCCTCCACCCCCACCCACTCAGGCTCTGAGCTGCTCAAGTCCTCTAGGAAGGAGAAGGAATCCTGCACCTCCTGGGACAAGGAATCATCCAGGGCAGGAGCCATGTCTGCTGGGCTTAAGTCAACCAGGGGACCTGGGACTGATGTTGCCTCCGACTTCTCATCTGTTGAGAGAAAGACAATTCCAGGAATCAAGAAGTCAAGGTCAGCCCCAACCCTTTCTGGTATGGGAATTCCTCACACTGACATGGTAGGGGTCCAACCCTCCCAGTGTATGATAGTCCACATGGCTCATCCTTCCAGACCAGAATGACTAACTACTTATAGCTCTTTATTAATTCTCACTCAAGTGCCAACTTTGTGGATTGTTTGTTTATCCCTTTGTCTGTTTGCAGGAGCAAGGTATCGCTACATAGCAGTGCTAGAACTGGCTAGGTAGACCCAGGTTGGCCTTAAACTCACAGAAACCAACCTATCTCTGCTCCTAAGAGTTGGGATTAAAGGCAGGCACCGCCGTGACCAGATCCAAGCATAGTGTTCTATAGCTTTATAATGGATTATTCTGTTTTCTCTGCAGAATAAAATATTATGTAGAGGGGCTGGGGAGATGCTTCTGTTTAGAAGTGATTGTGTGCAAATATGAGGCCATGAGTTTGAGCCTGAGAATTCACATAAAATAACTCTAGGTTATGGTGGTGTGCTCTGGTAATCCCTGTGCTGGAGGGGGAAGGTGCAGGTGGGTCCATGGAACTAGTCGGTCTACCACCCTAGCCTGCTTGGCAAGTTCCAGGCCAGTGAAATACTCTGTCATAGAAAAAAGAAAAAGAAAAGCATAGGTATCGTCTGAAGGACAACACCTAAAGTTGCCCGCTGGTCCCTAAATTCTTGTGCGTGTACATGCAACTCAGATACACACACATGCACTGTCTATGACACATATTAACTGTGTGACCTTGGACACATTGCTTTGGGCTTCAGTTTTTTGTTGTTGTTTTCATTTGCTTCTTGTTTTGTTTTTGAGACAGTTTCTCTTATGTAACATCCCTGGCTGTCGTGGAACTCACACTGTAGACCAGGCTGTCCTCGAACTCACAAAGATCTGCCTGCCTCTGCCTTCTGAGTTCTGGAATTAAAGGCGTGCACCATCACTTGCACTGCCTGGCAAGCTTCAGTTTTATCACATGCAAAAAAAAAAAGAGGATAAGGAACATCCTTGGTAAATCTGTTTAGCAAATAGACTTGGTAAAGACAGGTCTCCTGTATCCCAGGCTCATCTCAAACCGTGGAGCTGGGTATGACCTCAAACTTCATTCTTCCTATCTCCACCTCCGAAGTGTCAGATTACAGGTGTAAGCATCCATAAGCTTGATGGAAATCAAGCTCAGGGTTGTGTGTATGTTAGGCAAGCACTCTACTGCCTCCTCAGCTCTTCACTCTCATTTTGCATGTAACAAAACTGAAGCACAAAGCAATTTGTCCAAGGTCACACAGCTAATATACGCTATAGACAAACTCTGAACCTCAGTCTACTTAACTGTCCTACTTACCTCTGTCCTAGACAACCTCAGGATTTCTCATCTGTGACACTTTGAGAATAGGAATGGGAGCTTGGATCAGATCCTAGCCTTGCTTCTTCCAACCTAATCAGCAGTAAACTGCTTGAGATAACTTTCAGGCTCCATTGCTGTGATATGAGAATCACAACACTTATATCTTCATATTATGAAAAATGAGATGAGCCAACGCCTGCAAAGTGCCTATACAGCCATCGGCACATGTTGCTAAGTACATGTTGGTTGGCTCTTAGTATTAATGTTGCAGGGACTTTTTTTTTATTTTTGGTTTTTCAAGACAAGAGTTTCTCTGTGTAGCCCTGGCTGTCCTGGAACGGATTCTGTAGACAAGGCTAGCCTTGAACTCAGAGATCCACCTGCCTTTGCCCCCAAGTGCTGAGATTAAAGGCGTGCACCAGCACCACCCAGCTTTGAATGAGACAGGGTTTCTCTGTGTAGCCTTGGCTGTCCTGGACTTGCTTTGTGGACTAGGCTGGCCTCAAACTCCCAGTAATTCCCTGCCTTGACTTCCCTGAGTGTTGGAATTAAAGGTGTGTGCCACCATGCCCAACTTGCAGTAACTCTTAACACCAACTTTTATACTTACCCATACTTGTATTTACTAAATCACTTACATGTCTGGCACACAGCCCTGTTCTTGGGGTACATCAGTGACCTGAAGCCTAGCAGAGATTCCCCTCTCCATGGACTTTATATAACCTGATAATATTGTGGATTCTCAAACTGCAAATCTAGGCAGGCCGTATAAGACAAAGCCTCAGGACTGAGGCCTCTAACCCTCCCAGGCTACATCCTCAGCACCAGAACTTTAGATTCCTTCCCAGCCCTAGGAAATCTCTGAGTTCTTACCTGGGGGGCCAGGGCCAAGACCTGGGCCTGGGCCAGGACCTGAGGCAGGGCTTGGCCGCGGCTGTAGGGCCGGGCACTCCAGGCCACGGGTGAGCCTGACCAAGGAGACATTCGAGATGATGTTTGGAGGTACACTGAGGATAGAGGTTATGTGTAGGGGGAGGTTGACGTTGTAGGGGTCTGAGATGTGGACACCGGCACAGCGCTCTGCACGGCTGCTCCCCGAAGCCCGAAGAGCTGCCCGCCCAGTTCGTGGAGTTCCTGGCTCAGAATTCGTACTGCCCAGTGTCTCTGCCTCAAACTCCTGTTCACCTTCTGCTGCATCCATAGAATTATTCTCCAAGCTCTCAGGCATCAGTGAGCTTGGCTGACTGCTGGACCCCACCAGCCCCTCTGGCTCTGTGGAAGAGAGAGAGAAGGTCAGATAGTCAGTAGCCTCAGCTCCAAAGGGTTTGACAGCTCGTGTAAGACCTCAGCTGCTCTTTTCCTAGATTCTAGAAGCAGGATAATTGGAAGGTACCAAACCCAGCTTCCTTTAGCCACTACTGCAAATTATCCACCCAGTCAGCAGGTCAAAGGTCACACAAACTTGATGGATCATCTTCCCTCTCTGTACATCCATTCACTAGCTCCCACTACCACACACATGCGTGTGTATGTTTACATCCTTCTACACATACCCAGAACCTCCTTCACGTACAAAGACCCATGAATAAGCTCAGAGATTAGACAATGAGTTTGTCACTATAAAACTTGGCATCTATCTCCAAGACTGGTATCTAATAGGAACCCACTAATTTTTTTTTTAATTCCTGGGCATTTTTGGCCGCATTTATAGAAACACAGCCTTTGCTGTTATTGTCACAGCATATACACAAACACACTTAGCCACTAACACTGAAACAGACTCACCGTCACTGGCCCCAGCTGCAGCACTCAGTGAATCCATACTCTTCGCAGGCCTCAGTGTTCCCTTATTGGATTTTTCTTCTGAAAAATACACGTAGATGTACATAACGCCAGAACCCTACACATCCTCAGCAAAGTCCTGTACCCTCATCATCCTAGACTTACCCCTGTCCTCAACCCTCAGTGGAAGTTTCCGTTTCGTCTCATGTCCAGAGCGACCCAAATTGAAGATAGATCGCCATTTCCTGACCTTCAAAGACCCCTTTCTCCTGCGGATAATGGAGATACAGTTAGGAGTGGAGGCTGATGATAAGTGCAAAGGAAGAAGACCAAGGAGGAAGACCTTACTTGTGTTCTGCAAGCTCAATGATAGTGTGGTAGGGTCGCATCTGTGGGGGTCCATCCCCAGCCTGTAAGATGCTGGGCAGGTGGTAGGGAAGGGACCTGGGCATGAGGTCCTCAGAGCTGCCTGGTGCTCGGGCCCCTGGAAGTACTTTCCATCCACTCTCCAAATCTGCACCAGCTAGGAAAACAAAAGGAATTGGCCAGCCAAAAACAGAGCCAAGAAAGGAACCTCACGTCCCCGGTCCATGCCCCTTCACCAACCACCAAGCTGAGGATATAGTCAGAGGCTCTTGGAGATAGACCCTCTCTATCCATTTCAGCAGGGTGTTCTCATGAACAAAGGTGGCCAGGAGGTCCCGAGACGTTAGCCTTGGCATCCAAGGCAATGCTGCAGAGGCCGTCAGTGTGCTAGAATGACAGCAGAAGGCGCCCGCTCAAGTCCTAGCTGCACTAAGATCTCTCTGGTCTTTCTGTATGTGACCATCACCTGCCTCTCTCTGTGAGAGACAGAGTCTTCCTGCCCACAAAGGGACAAAACTGAGTGAAGTGACTTTTGAGGCTCTCTACACCTGACCTTCATCAAAGAAACCATAAAATAAAGCTCTCTATGAGGTGATTACCCTGGCAGAGACTGATGATATGTAATGGGCAGAAAGGATACTAACCAGAGAGGGAATCACCCCCAAAGAGCTGATCCACATGGGTGAGGATGAACTCCACAACGATGGACTGCACACGCACCTCCATGAACGCTGCTGTCCCATTGAAGCCCGAGGCCTCTATGTCCTTAGACCTGTAAACACGTGGGCTTAGTCCCTCCCAATTTCAAAACACTTTCCTATCTAAATTATTCCTGAAATATTATATATATATATATATATTACTGGAACTCTCTGTATACACTAGGCTGGCCTTGAACTCACGAAGGTCCACCTGTCTTGTCTCCTGAGTGCTAGTGTTAAAGTTGTGTTACAGAATGAGCAGCCTCTGAAATACCCTCTACTCTCCCCTCCTGTCCTTGCCTCCACCTCTACCTCTTAGGTCACATGTATGATTCAAGTTCAAATGCCACTCCCTCCAGGAAAGCCATCTTAGACACCCTCAAATAATTTCTACTTTTTTTTTCATACTCCTTGCACTATAGCACAAGAGGCAGGCTATGCGAATTATTATAATAAATAATGCTTCGTGCCATAGGGAGTGATATACAGGCCAGTTCTTGACTAGATTGTAAGGATATTTGTTCAACAAATGTTTGGCAAAGACCAATATTCTAGTCCCCAAACTCTCCAACACAGTGTAGGGAAACAGAGGCCTTTCTCTTAAGATCTTCACTCAGTCTCAGAGAAGGTCCATGTTGGTGGACTCTAAACTACTCGGCTTCTGCTGAACTATACTGTCTTGCTGGGTTCTCCAGTGCACCCACACAACCGCATCCGTTTGGGTCTATCTTGTTACAATAAGATAAGCTTCCCAGAAGCTACAACACTGCTCACCCATGCACCCACCTCAGCAGGTTGGGGGCCCACACAATGGCCAAATTGCGGGCATGCATGTTGGTTTGGGCACTAAATGAGGCCATGTGGACCAAGTGCCGCATGAGGAACTCCAGCGTCCTGCAGAAAGCAAAAAAGGGACCACCTAAAACACAGTCTAACCGGGGTTTCGGTTAGACTGAGAGCTTGGAGGAGGAAGGAGGCTTGGGCCAGAGATGGGGTAACGGGGTCTCTGGAGTGCGAGGGTGGCCCTCACACACCTGTAGTTCTGGACAGGGAGCTCCTGAAGCACATCTAGGATCTTGACCAAGCGTTCAGGCTCCAGCTGCACTGCCACTGCCTCCTAATTGGGAACAAGGGTACAAGAAGGAGATACCGGCTCAGAGATGGCCCCTGGCTTCTCAGAGCTCCAGATGAAGCTCGGAGGGATGATCTGTGCCTATATCCCACAATGACCCCACCTAGACCTTCAAGGCACCACAAGAGAGTAAAGTAAAAACACGCACGCTGAGCATGGTAGCAAATGCCTATAGTCACAGCACTCTAGACACAGAGAAAAGGGACAGAAAACAAGGGCTGGAATGCAGCTCCATGGTAGAGCACATGCCTTGCAAGCACAAGACCACTGGTTTGGTCCCCAGAACCAGAGGAAGAAAGCTTAGGACCTTCAGGCCCACAGATGACTGCTGAATCTTCTTTTATACACTTAATAGTCTGTCCTGTGACCTTGAACTACTTACTGCCATTCCCCTGCCTCGGTGTTTATTTTGGCACAGCTCTGGAACTAGACTGTGGAGCTGTTTAAAGGTGTCTGGGAAGGTGACCCACCCAGACTAGGCTGAATGGACTGAGCAGGATGCAGCTGCTGTTCAGAGTCCCAGTATTGTTGCACTCAATAAAATGCAGGCTCTTTTTGCTGCATTTCCCAGGCTGGGCTCAAACTCTATACTCCAGCAATCCTTCTGCCTCAACCTCCCAAGTAGCTAGCACTTTATTTTAAAAGTATTGCTCAAATTTAAAAAAAAAAAAAGGTAATTTTTTTTTCCATATGTCTTCCCCTCCAAACTGTTTAACATACAATGACAGGTGACAGAGGGACATTCCTGAAAATGTTTTTGCTATATAAACAGCAGTCTGGTTCTCTTAAGTATAGGGAAACTCTGGTCTAGGTGCTTTCCAAGGCCTCCCGGCTCTGACAACCTTCCCTTTACCTCCCAAGTCTTACCACTGTGCTGTGTGCGGTCTGCAGGCCTTCAGGGAAATACACCACAGGGAGAAAATGAAGACCGAGAGGACAGGGATTGGCAGAGGTTTCAGGGACTAGGAGATTTGGGGAGGAAGGCTCTCCTTCCCAGTCATTGCTTTACTGTCACTCAGATCCCTAGGGCTGTGGCTGGCCTGTGACACGCCAGGGATGTCAAGGTTGAGGCGGCTGCCCTTGACCCCTGTCCTCCGCCCCTCTGCCTCTCAACTCACAGCGAATTTGTCATAGAGCCGGTAAGTGAGGAGGGGATCTGGAAGTTCTCGGAAATAGGCCTTGCACAAGGAGGAGACGCAGTGAATGTCCTGGAGGTAAACGTCCCGCCGAAGGTCTGGCTTCCGCTCTGCCTCAAACTCCTGCCTGGGGAGGTGCAGAGTGGTCAGGAGTGAAAGGTAAACAGAGGATATCTAGGGAGAAGCAGGAGCTATAGAGGTCAGCTGCAGACGTGGTTCAGCATGTTGAGACTTGGAAGGAGAATGTTGGAATGTACACACACACACACACACACACACATACACACACACAATATATATATATTAACTGGCGTATTTACATGTATTTCCTGTACTTGTCAGCAAACATTAGGAATTGCGAATGTGAATGTGTATATGTGACTATGAAGATGGGTCTAGGGATAGGTAAGTGGGTCTGTGCATGACCCACCAGGGACATGTGATTAGCAAGAAAGGGGTATGTAGAAATCAGTAGACATGGGGAATGGATTTAGGGTGGCCTGGAACTCAATATATACATCAGGCTGACCTCTGACTCACAGAGATCCACCTGCCTGCCTCCTGAAGGCTGGTATTCAACGTGTGGGCCACTATGCCTACCTTGGAAGAAACATTTTAAGGTCTTGATTAGATTAGCCAGCAGTTGCTCAGATATGGCACCCAATGTACCAACAATCAAAAGAAAAAAGCAGATAAACCGATAATGCAAGAGGACTTCCGTGAATCTGAGATTATCATTCGCTATAAAATGAGTTCTAGGCCAGACTGAGCTACAGAGTAAGACTGAAGAAAAAGAAACAAGAGAGGGTGAGAAGACTAGGGGCTAGGAAGATATCTCAATTGATAAAGCGCTTGCCACATGAGCGTAAGGATCTGAGTTCAGATCCCCAGCTTCTTTATAACAATCCAGACAGAGCGGCAGAGTCCTCTAAGCTCAGCACTGGGGAAGCATGTGTGGGGGATCCCAGGAGCTTGCTTGCCAGTCTGCCTAGTCAAATCTGCAAGCTTCAAGTTCAGGAGGATACCCTGTTTTCAGTCAATGATAATAACAACAACAACACAGAGGGACTGGAGAAACCAATGCCCAGCCAGTGGTTAAGAGCTGGCTGCTCTTCCAGTGGACCCAGGTTCCATTCCCAGCACCCATCTGTAAGTCCAGTCCTGGGCCTCAGCTGGCCTCTGTGGGCACCAGACACATAAATTGTGCACAGACATACCAGCAAGCAGAACATAAAAGAAAAAATCAATTAATTTTAAAAATATGGTGAACTATCAGTAGTGGAATCAGATTCCTTCTTCAGATAGAACACTCAGGCATAAAATAAATAAGTAAAATCTTGTTAAAAAATACAATAAAATTGGGAGGAGATGAGGGAGGGGCCCACATCCGGGATACAAATTGAATAAATTATAATAAATAATAATAACAATAATAAAATAATAACTGAGAAAAAATATAGTGAAGAATGATTGAGGAAGACAAGCAATACTGACCTCTGACCTCCACACAAATGCACATAACTACACAAATACATACATACATACACCACACACAAAAGAAGAAAAGAAAAGGAACATTTATGTGTTAAGGCACACTATCAAGAAAATGAACCCTGGGTTCAAAATCCCCACTACCACAAAGAAGAACAAGACCAGGAGGAAGAGGAGGAGAGCAGCCCACAACCCACAGATGGGGAGGGGGAAGTACTGCTCATCACACATCTGGCTAAAATCCAGCTCAGAGGTTGAGAGTACTGTCTGCTCTTTGAGTTCAGTTCCCAGCAACCACATGGTGGCTCACAACCATCTATAATGAGATCTGGTGCCCTCTTCTGCTTTGTAGGTGAACATGCAGACAGAACACTGTATACATAATAAATAAATAAACCTTTAAAAATTATCTAGCACTCGGAACATATGAAAAATCTCATTCCAACTCAATGATTAAACAATTTAAACACAAACAGAAAATCGGAATCTTTCTCGGGAGACGTCTCAGAAGAAGGGTGTTCAACCTCATCTGCAGCTGGGGAAATTCGTAAATCACAAAAGACACAGTAACAAAAGTTGGCAGGGGTGTGGAGAGATCGGAACCTTCGTGTGTTGCTGCAGGGATGAGAACGATACAGACGTTGTGGAAGACAGTTTGGTTAACAGTAACTACCAAGCGAGAAGGCACCTCGTGGCCCAGCAATTGCACTCAGGTCTACAGTCATAATAATTGAAAATATGTCCACAAAAACTTGCACATATCTGTAGCAGAATTATCCATAATAACCAAAAGGTGGAAACAACCTGAATAGCTGTCAACTAATAAACGAGTAAAAAAAAAAAAAAAAAGTTATGTGGCTATGGCAGAGAATTGTATTCATCTATAGAAAGCAGTAAAATACTTAGTACATGCCACAGCACGAATGAACCTTGAAAGAACTCAGAGTTGAAGAGCCAGACTTATGAAGATATGTATTGTATCATTGGTTTATATGAGATGTCTAGGACAGACAGAGCCATACAAACAGAAAGTCAGTTTGGGGTTAGGTAAAGGGGAAATGTACAGTTTCTTTGGAGGATGGTGACAGGTTCTGGATGCTCCATGGTGACATTTGCAGTGTTGTGAATACGCTGAAAACAACTCACTCAAACACTTTTAAGGGGTGAATTTTACAGTATGCAAATCACGTGTGTGTGTGCATGTGTGTACGTGTTTGTGTTAAAAGCAGGCTGTGTATGTGTGGGACTGGAGAGCGTGTGTGTTGGGGAGTGAGCTTGGGGTCCCCGCTTTGCCTGACCAGGCTTCAGAGCCTCTTCTGAGGCAGGAGCACCTAACATTTGTGCTTCCTTCTCCCACTTCCCCTCGCCCCTCCTCCAGCTCACCCCAGCTGCTTTTACTGTGGCTCCCTGGCCTCCTGCCTACAGAGTCTGTCCACTCTGGCTGACTCACCGGAGCTTCTGGATGTTAGAGGAGACCCCCGAGAGGCGGTAGATCCCATCCACCACACCATACTCTTGCACAAACTCCGCACAGCTCCTTAGTACTTGGGGCACTGCGGACACAGAAGACAGAGGAAAGAAAAACCTGAGAAGCTAAAGACTGAAAGAGGGTTCACTGAGATTAAGGCCAAATTAATGAAATTCAAAACAAAAACAGAAGTCACTGGCAAATTCTTACAGGTGATAAGACCCAATTCATCTATTTTTGTATAATATTTCTATCACTTGGTTCTGGAATCTCAGCATAAATCCCTGTACTGAAGTGGAACTCACTGCTACTCGATATTAGCCCTCTAAATTTTCTTTTTCAAAGCTCCATAGACCAGGCTGACCTCAAACTCACAGAGGTCTGCCTGCCTCTGCCCCCACCAGGCATGAGCCGCCACTGCCTGGCTCATTTGTTGGCTTTTGAGACACAGTCTCATGGATCTGCGGCTGGCCTTCAGCTTGCTTGTAGTTGAGGATGACCTTGAATTTCTGCTCTTTCTGCCTCTACTTCTTGAGTACTGGGATGTGCACCGTGCACCGTCACAGGTAGTTACGAGTGCAGAGGCATCCTAGGGTACCGGAGGATGCTGGAGTGGTTGTTAGTTCTGGGAAACAAACCCTAGGCCTCTGCAAGAGTAGTATGTGTTTTTGTTTTTGTTTTTTCTTTTGTTCTTCAACATAGAATTTCTGTGTTTTAGCCCTGGCTGTCCTGGAACTCACTCTGTAGACCAGGCTGGCCTCATACTCACAGAGATCCACCTGCCTCTGCCTCCCGAAAGCTGGGATTAAAGGCGTGCACTGCCACCCGGCTGTAGTATGTGTTCTTAACTGCTGAGCCATCTCTCCTGCCTCGAGTTCAGCTCTCATTACTGGAGTTATGGGACGAACAGGTCTGCAAACTTTGGAACTGAAATTTCTCATTGGCATTTTTAAAGGGGGCAGCAGCAATCTTGTGGGACAGGGGAGGAAAAGAAAAAGACTGGTCCCAAAATTGCATTGATGTAACACTCTACCAACCATGGAAAAAATCAACACTGCCTGTCCCAACTGAAATGGAACCCAGCTGAAGGCATTTAGTTTGAGGCACTTTCTCTGGTAAAAAAGCTTGTAGTTATTCAGTTTGACAATGGAAAGCCCCATGCCTGATTGCATGGTCAGAACTGACTTCCACGAGCTGTCCGTCCATATGCCCTCCACGGCACTTGTGTGTCCACGCATATACACACAAAATAAGTAAACAATTTTATTAAAGTGCAAGAAATTAAACTATCTCTCCTGACCCTGGGCTTCTGCCATGTCACCAGACTAATCTTCTTAAAGATAATATGGTGCTATTTCTCACGTCATCTTGATGTGGTATCAGCTGTGATAGAGTCTCAAAAACAAGTATTGAATCCCATATAGAAACCCAACCATAGCTATGACTGCAACCTAGCACAGAACTGTAAACTGACATCCTTGCCACACTTTGTACACATGAACGCTCTATTTGCACGTACGCCCGCATGACAGAAGAGAGCACCAGATCCCGTTATAGAATGGTTGTGAGCCACTGTGTGGTTGCTAGGAATTGAACTCAGGACCTCTGGAAGAGCAGACAGTGCTCTTAACCACCGAGCCATCTCTCCAGCCCCCTTGCCACACTTTAAGTTGTTGATTATAAGCACCCAGGCTAGTACCCATTAATTATTATTATTTTTTATACAGGGTTTCTCTGTAGCCCTGATTGTTCTCAAACTTGGAGATCCACCTGCCTCTGCCTCCCAAATGCTGGGGCTAAAGGTGTGCACCACCACCCCGACCCATTGTTATCTTAAAATATGAGCTCCTCAGCCTGGGATATAAGACCTTTACAAACCAGGTCCTGACCAATTCTATGAATGAGCCTTTTGCTAGTCCATAAACAAGCCTGGTACCACCCTCATTGATGTGGTTTGGATATGCTTCTTCTCTCAGAAGTTCATGCGCTGGAAACCTGGTCCCCAGTGTGGTGATGTTGAGATGGGGAAACAGCTAAGAGGGTGAGACCTGGTGAATGATGATTAGGTCATGGGGCTCTCTCCTTGTGAATGAATTACTGTCTTTTCGATTTTGTGGGTTTTATTTGGCTTTTTAAAAAATGGATGTATGTTCTTATTGCTTGAGGCATGGTCTTTATTACTAGCTCAGACTGGCTTTTCAAGATGCCCTTATACTTTTCAAGTACTGGGATGTGCCACCAGGCCTTACAGTGCTCCTCTTTGTGGAGGGTTTTGTGTGTCCAGATCAGACAGTGAGTTGTCATAGCAACACCACCTCTTGCTCCTGGTCCCTTCTATACAGACAGTTTTCTTTCCACCTCACCATGTTGTGACATAGCGAGGGGTCCCTTGGCAGGATGGCAGCAGATGCTCTCTGAACCCTCCAGCCTCTGTAGTCATGAGCCATCTCAACCTCTTCATGATTTCTCCTTCTGAGGTGTTTTCCTGTAGCAACATAAAACTAAAGCACTTGTTTTATTCTCCAACCTGGAAATACCTTCCCTTCCAATTGCCTGGTAGACTATTCCTGAAAATATATCTCAAACATAACTTCTAGCTGAGCAAAGTGGCACATGCCTATAGTCCTAGCTCCCTGGGAGGCTGAGGCAGGAGAATTCCTTGAGCCCAGGAATTCAGGGCCAGCTTAAGACATAATAGGGCCATCTAAAAACAAAAATTTAAAACTAAACAAGGGCTAGGAGGGTGGTTCATTAGTTAAGAGTGCTTGCCTGGAAAGCAAGAGCACTGAAGTTCAAATCCCTAGAATCCATGTACATGCGCAGCAAGTCCTTCCTCAGGAGGTGGAAACAGAGGATGGTCCAGAGCAATCAGGCTAGTGACACTTGCCATATCGGTAAACTGTGGGTTTGGCTGAAATTCTGCCGAAAATAATATGCTGGAGAGTGACAAAGAAAGATCCCAGAGATTGACCTCAAATCTCCACACACAGGTTCACATACACACACGTGAGAAAAAGACAAGAGTACGTAAAAACATCACTGCTGATCCGGAGACCGTTGCGTGTATCTATACTACAGTCCTCATAGTCCTTTGCTCATTTCAATAGCATAGTATTTTTTAAAAGATGTGTTTAATTTGTATGTGTATGATTGCACATACTATACATGCACCACACGCATGCATGTGCCTGAGGCGTCCAGAAGAGGGTGTCAGATTGAGGTGGAACTGGAGTTACAGGCAGTTGGGAGTTACGCCATGTGGGTGGCGGGAGCTGAACCCAGGTCCTCTGCAAGAGCAGCAAATGGTCTTAGTGGCTGTGCCTTCTCTCCAGCCCCCAACATCACAGTACTTATTATACTTTGCTGTAAGTGTTGTATCTATACCTCCTGACAAATGGTACTATCTCGTCAGAGAATTTTCTCTCTCACTGTAGTGAAACATCAGACATGCAAATCTTTTGCTAGATTATACAGTGAATTAATCCAGAATTAGGTCAAAATCACCAATGAGATTTGATAAAGGACATTGCCTTTGACAAAACAATGGGTCCTGTTGCCTGGGACGCACCAGAAAAACTCCTTGATTATGTCACTGTCAGGGAAAGCTGTGTTTCTTCTAAGGTACCTATTCTTTGTTCCCTAAAAGCCTCGTGAGTTTCATATGACTTTAACTACCAGGCAGTTCAAAGCCCACCCCTAGCAGCCACATGGAACTATGTGGCATGCATTTTCTGGGCACTACTTTTCTTAATTTCCTTTCAATCCAGTTTTTTCAGCCATTTATTTTGTTTGTTGTGTAGGGTCTCAGACGTCATCCCAAGCTTTTTGTGGAACAAAGTATGACAGAAAGATGGGGCGAAGGACGTAGATAATCCCAGCAACCACCGACTCTCAGCTTCCTTCCTTCCTGTGACCTAGTTTTCAGATCCTTCATCTTTTTGCCCATAACCAGAACTTGGGTAAGACAAGAAAAGAGGCGTGGAGGGTAAAAACATCGAAAGAAGTCTGAGTTTCCAGGGCTGCGCATGTACTAACACACACCATCCTTAGAATGAGGGACCCGGGACATTTGCACAAAGTCTCTAGAGCAGTGATTCCTGAAGTTTTGGGTCCCTGTCACCTTTCCTCACCTCACTGCAGTTCCAGTTCCAGCGTGTGGATTACTGTTTATGCCTTCAGAACCTGTTTGCATTTTCCAGGGTTCCCCTGATTCCAGCTCTCTGCACTGAATGCAGAGAAGGGGGACAACCTCTTTGTGGAAGCGGCTGCTCTACCGTTGAGTGCCTAATGCTACAACTACTCTTTCGGCCACCATGTTATTCTGCTGATTCATAAGTAGTCTTCTGCCCGGGCCTGGTTAATGCACGCTTGTCATCCCAGCACTCAGAGCCAAATGGCAAGACCTCGTCTATGAATAAATGAATAAATAAATATCAATAGCTCACTCTCATCTGTATTACTAGCTTCAGTCCTGACTAGGTTTTCCTGTCCTTTTCTTTTCAGTTGGTTTTGAATCTCTGGAGTAGCTCTGCACAGAGATGGAAAATCTCAAGAAGCCTGAGCCATAAAGCCTGAGCCTGGGCCAAGAGATAGCAGGGTCAGAAACATGGTGGAACTGCAGATATAAATCAGAAAAATGAAGTCAGAGATACAGTCTAGGGATAAGATTGGGGTGAGGAGTCAAAATGACTCGAAGGATACGGGTGCAGTCATGGAGGAAGGACCTACGGTGAATCAGAAACCTAAGCAAGGTATCAACGCGTACACAGTAGGGCTTACGGGAAGAAAAGGATCCATTTAGGGGTAAAGAGTTGGGGAAGAGGTCTGAGATCAAGAGTATAAGGATGGAGAAAACAATAACAACTGTGGGAGTATCAATTTACCAGAAGCAGATGATCTCCTGGTCTGAGCTTTCATTTTCATGCTGGGTCTTTGGCTAATGAGAGAAGCTGTCCTCAACCAGCTTCATTCACCCTTATCACTTTCCAGCTTTCTGTACCAGGATGCTTTGGGTAAGGGGAGAGCTTCTCACTGATGCTCCGATACCTAAAATTCATTTCTGAAGCCTTGGGCTCAGCTGAGGTTCTCGTGAGAGAGAGAAGGTGCTTCTCCCACGCTCTGGGAGTCACCTACCATCAGAAGCCAGCCATCTTCCACTATCCCTGGATCTCTAGAGAGAATTCCCTTCAACCGCTGGGAACCGTGGCTCTGGGGATCATGGAAGTACAGTCTGCCTATAAGGTTGGTGATGGGAATCCCAGGAAAGGAAATCCCAGAACCAGGGTAAGGAGGCTGAACTGAGGGTCTGCCAAGAGCTACAAGAATATCATCCTCAATTAAGTCATATGGTTTTATGTAAAAAAAAAAAAAATCATTCTCTAGTGCTGGCTAGATGGCTAGGAGAACTGACTGTTCTCCCAAAGGACCTGGGTTCAGTTCCCAACACCCACATGGCAGCCAATAATTGTCTGTAACTCTAATCCCAAAGAGAATCCAATGCCACCTCCTATTCTCCATAAACACAGACATATACATTGAGGCAAAACATTCATACATATAAAATAAAAATAAATGAATCTCAGAAGAATTTTTTAATCATCTAGTGCTGATGAGATGGCTCAGAGGGTAAAAGATGCCTGCCATCAAGCCCAAAGACCTCAGCTCAATCCCCGGGACCAACGTGGTGGAAAGACAGAGCCAGCTCCCCAAAGTTGTCCTCTGACCTTCACACCTGCACTGAAACTACCGAACCCCCCTCTCCAACATGTACACAAAATATATAGATAAATAGAATAATAACTTTTAAAAAATCATTATAAAGAATGATTATAAAGAAGCCAGGCCTGCTCCTCGAGAAGGCACAGGAAAGTCCACCTCAGCTGTTTAACACTCTTGCTTGGAGCCTGGGTTTCCCTTAATGGAGGTTAGTAGGGATGGGGCCCTCTGATGGAGGAGAAAAGGGGAAGGAGGTATTTGGGGACACAAGGGTGGGGCTAAGAGCAGGAAATGAGCTGGGAACCACCATCACTGCAGGCACCACAACCAGAGAAGGGGACAAAGAGGAAATGACAGATTGGGGTGGGGTGGAGGGAGGGGAAGGGGGAGCAGAATCATGCCCGTTTTTTTGTAAGTTGCTCAGTGTGCTGAAAACAAGCCGGGCAGTGTAGTCAGGACAGATCAAATTAAGACACGGTTCTGAACAGCTACTGCACGCCGGGCGGTGGTGAGCCCGCAGTTGTCTCTGGGCCTGCTGGCTTTCAAACCCACAGCAGAGTAAGCTAGAGAAGAAGCCGAAGCAGCTCCACACAGTGTCCACACCCCTCTTTACTACAGCTTCTCATCCCAACTGCAAACCAGGGCTGAAGCCACCTCATTGACTTTTCCTGTGTTCCCTGCGTCGGCAGCGGTCCCCCTTTGCAAGCAGTTTAAAGAAGGTCCCTCCTTCCCTGACACCCTCCTGTGGACCAACAAAGATGCAGAAGGGCCAGGTCCTTGTCTCTTGGTATTGTTCTCCAGCTAGGATGCCTCCCTCTTCCCTCTCCAAGTTATATCCCCAGACCCACTGGGCCCGTTCCCACCTGTGACTCCATTTACTGTTCTATCAACTATCCTTTCAGCCATTCTTCTGACCTATGACCTCCATTCGCTCCCTCTGTCCCCATTTTCCATTTTCTCATCTGGTTCGTCCATCTCTCCAGACTTCCCAGATCCCCCCCGGACAACCACCATGCACACATTCCCTTGGCGATCCCATCCTCAACCTCTCTTCCGGAAGTGCGGCATTTCCTGTCTTGCCTTTGCATAGGTCTCATGGATGGTGACCCCTTCCCTAGAAGCTAATTCTGCTCAACAGACCAAATCAAGCCAGAGAAGACAAGCTTGATGCCTTCATGTCATCCACCGACACAGCTGTCCCCTGCTCCAGATGGTCTTCTTACCTTCCTCGCCCGATTGCAGCAAATGCTCTCGTAAGTCACACCCAAACACCCGTTCCTTGGAGCTGCCCTTCTTCTTTCCTTTCTGCCGAGACTTCATGGCCAGAGTCTCAGGGGATCTCTGACCCCAGCACCTCTGTCCACAAGACCTTTGCCCTACCAGTCCTTCATGGACTCCCAGTCAGTAGTTGGGTCTGGCCCAGCTCCAGGGGGGCAGGGCTCCAAACTGGAGGTGGAGGGTGGCCTGGGCAACGGACAGCAGCACTTGCCTCTGAGGCCCCCGGGGACACACGGAAGTAGGTATGGAAGAGGAAGCTACCAAAACCCTGGCATGAAGCTGTGTCTCGTGGCCAAGCTGAGCACCAGCCCTTTTCGCCCTGTGCAGCTCTAGGGGGCAGGAAGCTGTGCAGCTCCTCAAACCCGCTTCCTGTTAGAGCATCTTTGCAACCACAGGCCTCGGGGTGGGGGAGGTAGCTGACATTCACATCCTCATCACTGCTGGGACTTCATCCATTGGTCAGAAAGGGAGGTGATGTCAGAACCCCAGGGTGGGGTGGGGTGTGGAGAAATGGCGCCTGGGGTGTGAGCAGGTGGCTGGCATTTCTAGAGACCAAAATTCTTGGGTGGGACAGAGACCTAAGGCTTTGTCTGTGGGCAAGCAGGAAAGGACCATGCAGAGCATACCCAGGATGGAGGCCCTGTCCTCTTGGTCAAACCACATTATTTCACTGAGCCTCTGTTGCCATGCATTTGAAAATGGGGACACAGGCCAGGTGACTTTTGAGTTTCAGTTTCTCTGTCTGTAAAAGGCTACATGGCTGTCCACCCCACACAGCTGCTGGAAGTTTCCAGTACTGCCAGACTTGAAAAACACTTCACAAACTAAGGTGCTGGCCTTCCATGTCCACGCTGCCCTACCTGAGGGCTCTTGGAAAGGTCTAAAAAGTCTTTCGAAAGTCATTTGTTCTCTTCTTAGCTGCAAGTATCTGGGTCCTCGCCTTGCTTGGGAGCAGAGGAAGGGTAACACTGAGACTCAGTGCGTGGCACTAGTGACTTACCCAGTTCAAGGGGCAAGACAGGAATCAGACAATTAAAAAGGTTTTATCTGTTTATTTAAAAACAGAGTATCATTTTATCTACAAATATACATATATTTACATTAAATATACACACTAGGATCCCAGATACTCGGGGCCCACAAGTCCTGGGTTGCTTGGGAATGGAAGGAGAGCCTCTCCTTTAGGCCAGCGGATTTCAGGCCACACAAGGTTTGGATAGTAAATCGCAGTATTCTAGCTGCATAGGTTTGGGCAGACTAAATAAAAACATCTAACCCTAGGTGCCACACATACAAAGTACCAGAAGAGCCCCCAAATTAATGGCTCAGAAACCCCTTTGAAAGGAGCTGTTCCCCCCTCACCCACAGCACCCCTTTCTCCTCAAATGAACTTACACCTTCCTGCTACCCTCTGCCCTCAACACAACTGAACCAGAAACCCTTGACACCAAGTCCCAACTCTGTGACGGCACAAACTACTGTAGACACAACTAGGGGAAGACTGAAGGGGCCATGGGAGCCAAGCACCCCATCCCTAGCCTTCTTTCCCAGTGTTTATACCTCACACCCCAAATTCCAGACTCCACCAGCCGTCAGTTCCCCCAGGGCCTCTTTGGGTAAAGGTGCCCTAGGAGGAAAACTTTCCAGACCCACAGGAATTAACCCCTACTGTGGGGTCTGTTAAACAGTTTTGTTGAATGCCTATGTAGGCCGGCCTTGCTTAAACAAGCCCAGTAAAAAGCATGCACATAAATCAAAAAAAACAAAAACAAAAACAAAAAACTTTTTTTTTTTTTGGTTGTTTGTTTTTTAAGTTTCTCTTACTAAAGGAGTCTGAGCAAAACTCAGGATGCTCCCTTGGAGGATAATTTACAGAAGGTATGTGTACATGCAGCAGGCCCTACAGGCCACCAGAGGGTAGAGGGTTTCTGTGATAGTTCAGGCCTCTGGCAGAGCCCCGGATGTCTGCTCCACACTCACTCCTGAGGGGTGGGAACACAGCTCCCCCCCCCCCCCCCCGCTTTGGAGGTCAGATTCTAGCTCCAGCTGTGCCCCGCACACCTGGATCTGGCCCCTCACTTCCAACCTCTGCATCGCTAATACTGCTCTGGGGTCTGAGGAAAACACCTGCATGTGCAGGCAGAGGTCACACACACACACACACACACACACACGCACACACGCACACACAATGACCTACACACAATGGTGGGAGGCACTCAACCAGTGGAGCCCTCCTGGTGCACACAGAAGGATTGGAGGTAAAAGTGGGGCAGTCAGTAGGGTGGGAAGCATCTTCCTAAAGAAATGCAGGCACTTAAGGAGGTTCCCCCTAAGAAGAGCTGAAATCCCCCGCGTAAGCAGAAGAAGCCAGGCCTCGGGGAGGGAGGCGGCAGGCCTGGGTCAGACCAAGTGGCCTCGCCCGTTGATGTAGATTCCATTGCCCGTGGGTTTGGCTCTCAGGGTCCCATTCTCCTGAACAAAATGGTTCATGGCCTGTTTGATGCCTTCGTCCTGATCGTCATCGTCCTCTGTCCGCCCAGAGCTTGGAGAGAGCAGTTCGGTCTGTGTCTCGATCTCTCTCACTGTGGTCAGTGTGGAGTAGCTGCGGCCCTCTGGCTCTTCACTCTGGAGACCAAGGGCAGAAGAGAAGTCAGGAATCAAGAGCAAACAGGCAGACACAGTAGGGTAGGGCTAGGTTGTGATGGGGTCAGAGGTCAGGTAAAGCACGGGTAACGGTTGTCCCAGAGGCATAGGGGCTTAGAAAATTGGGGCTGGGGGCGGGGACAAGAACAAGGGGATGGGGAGGCAGAGAACAAAGAAATAGAAGAAATGGGGGGGTGAGCCAGGGATGAGATTGGGAGGGGGCTGCTGTCACACCTGGGACCAGGAGAGGGGCCTGAGGAGAGTGTTGGGGACACAGGTGGGGCCGGGGGGGCCTCACCATCACAGAGCAGCTACTGTTGTCCTTGAGACTATCGGGGTGGCCCTCGGCTCTCAGCCCTACACTCTCCTCCGGCTGCAGGGGCCCAGACATGGGGGAGGAGTTAGAAGAGAGCTCAGCCTCCTCCCCTCAGCCTCTTCACCTCTCTCCTCTTCCGCCAGCCTCCTCCCTGCTCACCTTTCCCTCCCCGACCCATAGGTCCATGTCGATCTGACACAAACATCCTCATTCCCTCACTGACTCCCCAAACCCCACCCTAGAACCAGCTGTGGCTGTGGATTCCTAAAAGCAGCCCCCCCACGAAGTGCCAAGGGGGTCTTGCAAGAAGTCCTAGCAGCCCCAAAGCATCTACCCACCCCATGAACCCCCAGCTAATACCCCTCAGTTCCGCTCCAGCTATGAGGAAGCAGCCAGACCTCCTGATATATATATATATATATATATATATATATATATATATATATATATACACATACACACAGAGGAGGAGCCAGAACCAAGCAAACTTGTGTGCCCACCCATGCCCCCTGCAACACTCAGGCTTAGCACACACCTGGCTCCTAGGGTCCGTGTGATGAGAATGCAGCCTCCGGATGGAGTTCTCCCTGGTCAAGGTCAGCTCCTCCTCACTGGGAAAGACATCCCCTGGGTCAGGAACTAAGAGCAGTGACGGCCTCCTAAGGTAAGTCTAGCCTGGCTGAGCCTGTGCGGGATGGCTTAAGGACACGATTTGCCTGCAAGTGTGAGGATGTGGCAGAAGAGGACAATGTGGCTGGAAAGCATGGGTGTGCTACAGGGTGCCACAGAACGCACCGCAGGTGGCACCTGCGGAATATGAACTTGTGCTTCTCTTAGGCATGTGTCTCCTCATCGAGCCGTGCACCAGGACCCAGGCTTCTCTCGCTTCCCCAGACTCCACCCACCTCTGATGGAGCACACGCTGTCCGGTTGTTATTAGGCCACACTCTCTCCTTTCTCCTCTGCTCTGCCTCGCCTCCTGCTTCGCTCCTCTTTCTTCTCAGCTCAGTCCTACCCACTCAGGGGAGCCGCTACTCACTATTTCTGGGTCATCTGCTGTGCTTTTCGTCGATGGTATCGGGACATGAGTACCACCACCACCACCAGGAGGAGGAACAGGAGTGCAGCAATCACACCCACTACCACCACTGAGGCCGACACCAGGTCCACCTGCTTCCCTGGATCCTGAGGGTCTGCAGGAGACAGGCCAATGTCTGAGATGCACACCCAGATCTTTCCCTGATCCACCCCAGACCCACATATTACCCTCACAGAACACATCCGCGGCTACCCACTCAGCTTTAGCCTCAAAGCATACATCCATCATCCCGAAAGACATTCTTTCCCTGTCTTGCTTCCCATTGCCCACCCCCAGCTCTGGACTCAGCGTCCTGTCTTCGTTCCCCAACCACTGTGCTTACCAAGAACTTCCACGGTGACCTGAGAGTCCCTCGAGGAGAGTTCATTGCTGACGTGGCAGACGTAGATGCCACTGTGCTCGGTAGTCAGCGGGGGAAAGCCCAGAGTGTCCCCTTTGACTCGCACCCCGCTAGGCAGAGGTCCATCCAGCCTGAAGGACAGGGAAGCTGAAGGGTGCTGGCTGGGGCAAGCTAAGGCTGCCACCACCCAACGTGCCTGGGCAGCTCTTTATCCCCTCCCCCATGACGTCACCCGAAGCCTCAGGCTGTTCCCACGGTGCCCCTCCCTACCCTGGACAGGTCTAGGCAGAGGCCCTTTCTCCCTGCCGCCCAGCCTGACCCGGGCACCCCCACACACACTTGGGGAAGATCCACACGCGTGCCATCCCACATGCTCCCACAGGCATCACGTCATCCAGCACCGGGTAACAGGTATACACTCTATCAAATCCACACAACAGTCCACTCCTAGCTGGACCCAGAGGTCCTTGGAAACTGTGACTGCACACATCAACACCTATGACATTGCATGGCAGAGTAAACGAAGCTGGCTCCAGGCACAAGGCCACATATATCGTTCATAGGCTCACACACACACCCCTTTCCAAAAAAAAGGCAAGGCCTCTTGAAGGAGCTGGTGGAAGCTGGCCAGTGTTACTGGCAACACTGTGGTGATAGGGAGTGTTGGTACAGAGCAGTTATAGTCAGCTGTCTCTTTTATCACAAATATACAAAAGATTAATATTTGCTATAGTTATGTTTCGTAATTTAAAGTTAGGGGAGAAAAGCCACCAAGAGATCTACATATTCCCTGTGGGTAACCGTATGTCCCCTGGAACAAACCAGAGATATTTGCTGATTGTGTATCCTCGTATGTTGGTTTGAACATATACCCCAACTTATCTCAGGTTCAGAACATGTGGTCCTGGCCCATAGTGAGTTCATCTGGGCCCTGAGGAGGGAAGGATGCTAGGCCTTCCTCCAGGCACAGGCCCTTACCGTGTCCAGTTGTATGAGGGAGGGGGCTGTCCTTCACTGAGACATTTGAGTGTAGCTCCTTCTCGGCCAACATGCCACAAGTTTTGGTCCTCAAGGCCCCTTACAGAGGCCTCTGCAAGGACTGGAGCGGGAAGAGGGAGGAGGAAGAATGGGAAGATGCCTTAATTCCATGATTCTCTGAAGCCCCACTTCCCTGCTAGAATAGCCCCCCTCTACCTTCCTCCACAGCTCCTGGCCACCTAGGCCCTCCCCCCAAGCCCAGGGCCTATTTTGGTTGACTTGTACCATGAACCCGTAAGTCCCTTGGGGTAATGGAGTTTCACACTCCTTCTGGATCTCCTGTGGCTTCTCGCATAGTGTGGCTCACAGAGCAGGCGCTCAGATGCTCATTTTCTTAACAAGCATTTGCTGATTTCCTACCTGGTGCCAAATGTTAGTATACTTTAGGCTTGAAGTCTGATGCTGGGACTACACTATCGTTTACTGAGCCCTTGTAGGATTTTAGCTCTGTCAGATGCTTTGCCTTCATAGATGCTAATGCTCATCAGAATCCTGTAAAGTTGGTATAATTACACTCATTTGCTGGTAAAGAAAATGAAGTCTAACAAGATTAAATAACTGTTGGTAAATAGCAGAATAGGGGCTTGTCTCAAGTCTGTTTCCAAATCCTAACTGAACTGTGTGTTTTACAAACACTTTCAGTTTCACGTCTATATTTTATTCTCCCTTCAACGCTGTAAAAACAAGGCAGTCTCTCCTATAAAGCTCACAGAGATGCCGGGCCCTGGTGGTGCATACCTTTAATCCCAGCACTTGGGAAGCAGAGGTAGGAAGGGCTGCACAGAGAAACCCTGCTTCAAAAACAAAACAAATGAAAAAAAAAAAAAAAAAAGACCTGAACATCTAGGTTGACCTCCAGACCTTCCACCTTCGGAGTAGACTGTGAACTCCAGGCTCAGCCTGACGCTCCTGGCATGGTTCAGGGCCAGGGTCTTAGCACTATTTTCAGAACATAGGGCTCTCTTACCCGTGCGTCCTGATACTCACAGGCCACTTGGAGGGTGTGGGTGATCCTTTGGTCCTGAAGAAGGCCGGGGTGAGACACCACACAGGTGAGTGGCTGCCCATTCATGCTCCGGCTAGGCACCAGGTGAAACTCCGAGGTGACAGCAGCTGAGCGGGAGTGCTTGAAGGAGCGACTGGACTGTGTGCCTTTGACCTCTGTGTCCCAGGTCACACTGGGAGCTGGGCTGCCCTCAGCAGTGCAAGAGGCTGCCAACGTCAGGCCCTGGCCCTCTTCTAGGGGTGGACCAGGGTTCAGTGAAGGCAGGGGAGGCACTGTGAAGGCGGGAGAGAGGTGTGAAAGATCTGCACAGTCAGGGCAGGACTGTCTCCATCCCGTTTCAATCTTACCCAGTTGTAAACTTTAGTCCATCTTTTCTTTTCTTTCTTTTCTTTCTTTCTTTCTTTCTTTCTTTCTTTCTTTCTTTCTTTCTTTCTTTCTTTCTTTCTTTCCTTCCTTCCTTCCTTCCTTCCTTCCTTCCTCCCTCCCTCCCTCCCCCTCTTTCTTTCTTTCTTTCTTTTTTGAGGGGGGCTTGGTTTTTCAAGACAGTTTCTCTGTGTAGCCCTGGCTGTCCTGTCCTGTTCTGTAAACCTGGCTCACCTTGAACTCACAGAGATCCGTCTGCCTCTGCTGCCTCAGTGCTGGGACTAAAGGCGTGAGCCTTCACCAAACCTTTCTTTTTCTTCTTTCTTTCTCTCTCTCTCTTTCCTTCCTTCCTTCCTTCTTTCCTTCCTTCCTTCCTTCCTTCCTTCTTTCTTTCTTTCTTTCTCTCTCTCCCTCTCTCTCTTTCTGTCTTTCTTTTTTGAGACAGAGTTTCTCTGTGTGAAGCCCTGGCTGTCCTGAAACTCACTCTGTAGATCAAGTTAGCCTCAAACTCACCTGTCTCTGCCCCTAAGTGCTGCTACTAAAGGAATGTGCCACTATCGCTTGGCTATTTTGTCTGTCTGTTTGTTTGTTTGTTTGTTTGTTTGTTTGTTTGTTGAGACACTGTTTCTCTGTGAGCCTTGGCTGACCTGGAATTTGCTTTGTAAACCAGGCTGGACTCAAACTCACAGAGATCCACCTGCCTCTGCCTCTCCCAGTACTGGGATTACAGGCGTGCATCACCAAACCTAGCTACTCCTCCCTTTCTTTCTTCCTTTCATTTTATTTCTTTCTTATCTCACCAATAAATGTGCCAGATCAGTGGTATAATTTCAAGTGACTTTACATTTTTCTTCACTATTAGAATTTTTTTTACCATGTACATAGGTAATTTTTTTTCTTTTTTTAAAACATGATAAACATTCTTTTTGTTCAAGAAAAATTTATCTATTTGTTATTTATACAGCATTCTGTCTGTGCTCCAGAACAGAAGAGGACATCAGATCTCACTATAGATGGTTATGGGCCACCATGTGGTTGCCAGGAATTGAACTCAGGACCTTTTGGAGGGACAGCCAGTGTCGTTAACCTCTGAGCCATCTCTCCAGTCCTAACTCTTTCCTTTTTTGAGACAGGGTTTCTCTATGTATGTAGCCCTGGCTGTGCTGGAATCACTCTGTAGATCAGGCTGGCCTCAAACATAAGTCATTAAAAAAAAAATAAAAATAATTTTAAAACTAATTAGATATTATCTATGTAATAACAACAATAATAACCACTACTTACTATGTGCCAACTATTATGTTAATCATTTGCATACATTATCTCATTTAATCCTGCTAACAAACTAGTGAGGTGGGTACTATTATGCCTGTTCTTCGGACGAGGAAACCAAAGCTCGGGGAGTTTCATTGATTTATTGCAGGTCATCAGTTCTTAACTGACAAAACTTAGAGTCACAGATTTCATTTTAGGGTGTGTGTGTGTGGCTCAAACAATCCATCCTCCTGACTCAGCTTCTGGAACAATGTAAATATAGATATGTACCACTATGCCCAGGTTTTTTGTTTTGTTTTGTTTTTGTTTTCCCCATGAAGGCTTTTATCTTGAGCTTCAAAAAGAGCCCAAGTACAAAATTGAAAAGACAGCTTGACCATAGGTCCATTTTGACCAGAGCAAGTGCCTGCGGTGCAAAGGCCGTTTAAAAAGTGGCTGTGGTCTTAGACCACATTCACTGAAGGCCCAGTCAAGGTCTGTATTACCGTAACAGCCCTGCTCACATACAGCCACCTCACAGCTGGGCCTCATGTCCACATCTGGGACTCCCATGTTTTAAAACCGTAGAGCCTAGGATGGTGAAGGGGGCTTTGAGTTGGTGTCCTTTGTAGAACTGTGAAAGGAAGGAGTAAGTGCAACGTGGAGAAGAGATTTAAGTGGAGTCTGGCAGAGGTACTCGGTGCTTTGGAAAGCTGTGCAGAAGACAACAAGCCCTTTCCATGCTGATCTTGATGGACAAGGGTGCACAGAGGGAAATTCGGGCCGTCAGAAGGACCAACTTCCTACTATATGGATTATTCCCCAGCCTTGGCGGCTATTGTAGAGAATTTCTGGGTTGAGTGGGCTGAGTAATCCTCTCTCACCCCTACAGGGCCTTATCGTTTTATGTCTGCTTGTACTGCCTGTCTCGAGCATCTATCTCTGAAGTCCCGCTCCGTCTCCCCCTTCCACCCACTCAGCAATACTGATCGTGCCCAGCTGGCCCCACTCACCCAGAACACGAAGCTTCATCCGTGCCTGAAAGCTGCCCGCTGGGAAGGTGCTGACTCTGCATTCGTACTCGCCCTCATCTGCTTGCACAGCGTTGCGCAGGAGGACAGAGCCATCCAGAGGGTCTCGTGGGGGCGGTGGCTGCTCCACGCGGTCCTCATAGGCGGCGCTTACATGAAGCCCGTATTTGGAGTGCAGCAGGGCCAGATCCCGGGTGCCCTCGTTTGGGTCCACCCGAGCCCATGCCACCTGCCCCACCTGCTCATCAGGAGCCCCTCGGTAGAAGCAGGGCAGTTTTGCGTCCTGGCCCAGTACCACTGTCACTAAGTCCGAGGTCTCCAGCTCTCCCGCGGAGCATCGGCCTGCAGGGGGCAGACAGAAGCAGTCAAGATGAGGGGGACTGCCAGGACCAAGGGAACGCAAACAAAATGATAACGACAGCAAAGGCAGCCGGAACTCCTGGAGCGGTTTGTGCTTGCAAAGCGCATTCAGTCTATTACCTCATTAGATCCACACAACACTCTCAAGAGGTAGGCGTTATTATCGCCATTTAACAGAGGAGGAAACTGAGATCCAGAAAAGGAAGGTGGCTTGCCTAAGGCCACACAGATGATTTATGGAAGACCCACCCTTTTGCAGCCTAGGATTCTATTTGAGCAAAGCGAGAAACTATAACAGGACCAGAGACCTAGCACCTGCCCTCAGGGAGCTCACAGCCCTCAAGAAAATGGAATCTTTGCACACGGAACCAGGAAACCAAGGGCAAATTTCATGGGAGGTTCAATCTACCAAAGGGGTAAAAGTGAATGCTTTTTAGCATGGTGAGGAGCCGCAGAAAAGGGTTAGAACGTTTGGTATCTGGAATGAGGCATGTTGGGAGGGTAAGGTCCTTCCTGATGGGCCCTTGGGAACATTTTTCACATGGCTTGAAGATGAGCGACCTGGATTCCCAGAGAGAAGGAGGTATTCCATGTGGGAGGAATGGCATGAACCAAGGTCTAAGGAACCAGCAAGTCACTGAAGACAGAAAGAGCCCCTAGGTCAATGACCTGAAGAGATGAGGTCAGGGCAGGCCCAGCAACTGTGTCAGAATGTTGAGCCAGAATCAGAGGGTCAGAGATGAAGAAGGACTAGAAGTTTTGGTAATCAATGAGCAGCTGTATGAAGCATTTGGAGATTTTTGAAATTAGATACATTCATTGCATAACCTTATTGGCAAATAAAGATCCATTTCCTGCCCTCATGGAACCTGATGTCTGTTAAGGAGAAAAAAAAAATACAAATGGCAGGCATCTATCTATCTATCTATCTATCTATCTATCTATCTATCTATGAAATCATGCATTGGTAATTTTTTTTCTCTTCCCTTCTCCTCCTCTTTCTCTTTCTTTTTAAGGCAGGGTCTAACTCTGTAGACTGCTGGGCTGGCTTCAAACTCACTATTCTCCTGCCTCAGCCTCTGGAGTACTTGTAGTCCAGGATACACCACCACACCTGATTTGCAATGGTGGTTTCTGATGTAGTGTTTGCTGGCTTGCTGTAGGTTGTCTGAGGGTTGCAGGAGTCATGGGGAAAGGCTTCTTGTGTGGTTGGGTGGGATCAGGAGCCCCAAGAGACCTAGAAAGGCACTGTCAGTACAGGATCGAGGTAGGCAAACACTAGGAGGGGAGGAGGCTGTCTGCTTGTTCAGGAAGCAAAGGGAAGAGGACCCAACCTAAGGTAGGGCGTGTTTAGCAGCAGTGGAAAATATACCTGGGGTGGGTCCCAAAAGCCGAAGACTGCCTATGCCAGGAAAAGGAATTCAAATTTGGTCAAGAGGAAATGGAAAGTCACCCAAGCTTCCCTAGCCAGCAAGGGGCATGAGGCAGGCAACCGAGTGCAGTCTGACTAGAAAACAGGCCATGGAGGGAGCCTGAAGTAAACACATGAGGCCATAGCCACATCCCTGGCAAGGTGGTCCTGGGCAGATACAAGGGGACATCTGGTGGAGATTTGGTCACTGAGCAGAAAGAGAGGTGAGGAGGGAAGGGCAAAGATAACTGGATGAGTAACTGATTAAGGAGGTTAGGCCTGGGAAGGCCTGTGTTATGAAAAAACAAACAGGGCCAGGGCTGGGGGAGGACAGGAGAGAGCTCTGAGATGCCAAGAGCTCCTTCCCTTCGTCCTTCCAACTGTTGATAGTCCTTGCCTCTAGCCAGCACCCCACACGCCCTGCTGCCTGTCACCTTTACTCACAATGTACCCCTTCCAGGAATGCTCTCCTCCCTGTGTCTGGTTGCTCTCCTACTCACCACTGTCTGGAGGACTCCTACTCATGCCTTAAGACTCTGCTTAGGCATCATTTCCTCCTGAGTCTTCTCTCCCTTCCCCCACCACAGGCAGCTTCAGGTGCCCTACCCCTGTGCTTTCCTAGCACTCTGTTTCAACCCCAATCGTAGCACTTTAACCTATAGATAGACTTTCTACAGAGTCATGCATCACATGTTAAAAACACGGTTTATGATTTCATGATTAGTCAGTGGTATGTGGACTTCGATGAATGTTTATTGATTGGTTGAATGAATGAATGAATGAATGAATGAAGTTAGGCATGGTAGCTCATACCTGTAACCTCAGCACTTAGAGAGGCTCAGGCAAGAAGAGCTGGGGTTCAAAGCCATCCTGGGCAACAGGGAGACAATGTCTCAATCCCCACCTCTCAAAAACAAAAAGGATATACAAATGAATGAACAAATGCTTGAAGGAGATAAGCAGCAGAAAGAAAAAAAAAAGTAGAATCGAGAGGAATGCACAGTCCCTTACTTGGACTAGGCAGGGAAAGAGTTGGCATGGCAACCTTAGGGTGAAGGCAAGATAGGCCAGCTATCTGGGTTCACTGCCAAAGGGAACATCTCTGGACTGAGAAATGAAGGAGATGGAGATAGGCATTAGCAAGGAAGTGAAGCATGGAACAAAGAGCAGAGGGTTCCAGTGAGACAGATGAATGGGTCTTCTGGCTTTGATAGGAGGTGTAGAGAGAAGGAGGATGGAGCTGGGAGTTGGGAGGGCCCCAGACTGGACAGGACAGACCTGCAGGGCCAGATACCAGGGCCCTGACCTGCCTAAGCTGACACTGGTCCCACCCAGCCCAGCCTGGGAGTCCAGCTTGCACCCCTCCCAGCTATCTCCTCCTACCACTAAAGGGAGGGAGGGAGGGAGGTTGTCAAAGAAGGGGCGGGGGTAGGGTGGGTCTGGGCTGTCCAGCTCCCTCTGCTGCAAAACATTAATGTGGATTTAAGTCACAATGACGATGATGTGGATGCAGGGCACAGGGGCCCGACGTCCTGCCCCACTGGAAAACCCAAATCCTTCCAAAAATTTCTGTCACACTGTCAGATCCCATAGTTCCATCCTTAAATTTTCATTTATTTATTTATTTATTTTTTTAATCTTATGTGTATGAATGTTTTGCCTGCATATATGTATACCGACCAGGTGCTTGGTGTCCCTGCAGGTCCTAAGAGAGCAACAGAGGGGGATGGAGAGATGGCTCAGTGGCTAAGAGCACTGTCTGGTCTTCCAAAGGACCCTGGTTCAATTCCCAGCACCCACATGGCAGCTCACAACTCTCTGCAATGCCAATTCCAAGGAATCTGAAACCTTCACACTAATGCACATAAAATAAAATAAAATAAATTTAAAAAAAGATAGAGAGCAACAGATATCCTGGAACTAGTGTTACAGTTGGCTGTTAACTGCCACGTGGATTTTGGGAATTGTACCCGGGTCTTCTACAAGAGCAAGTGCTCTTGCCTGCTAAGCCATCTCTCCAGCCTGTATACTGCCATCCTTATCCCTACTCTGATCCCCACCAAAAATCACCCATATTCTGCTCCCCAATACCCCCTTAGGGCACAGTAAGAATTGGGCACCCATCACATGCCTGAGTCTCCTTCCTCAATGTCCCTAATCTGTGAGCCCAAGTCCTCAACCTCAAGGCACAAGCCCTAGTTTTTCAGACTGAGGAACCTAGTGAAAGGGAAAAATCCCTTTGGAACTGCTCCTACAAAACCCACACTGTCTTAAAGTCACTATTTAATGGAAATACCTCACCCTGAGGCATCCTATTGGCCTTCAGTTCCTCTAAATCAAAAGATATGAGTTAAGACAACTTGAGCCCAAGCATCCTTGTCCTGGGCTCAATGGACCCAGAAGCCCAGGCTCCCAAGCCAGGCCAGGCCAGGCTTGTCTCCTCCTCCCCTCCACCCAGAGCCTACCTGGCGTCAGCATGATGATGTCACCAGACTGAAGGAGACACACCGCCTGCCTGGTGAGGTCACCTTACGGGCATGTAGTAGCCAGGCCAGGCCAAGCCCATAGACCCTTCTGCTGCTTGTTGTGTGCCAAGGCTGGTGGCCTCTAGCTTCCTGGGCACTCCTCCTCCTCCTGACTCTCCCCACCCCTCCCGTTAAGGAGCACCAGGACGCTGGTCAGGGGCCTTAGTGACTCAGAAGCTGCCGCACAGCAGCAGGCCTAGCCACAGCCACCACCGCCTTGGCCTTGCGCAAGGGAAAGAACAGGCCCAACTGGCCAGACGGGATCCCTGCCCTCAGCCTCCCCCACCCCTGGCCAGGCCCCCTCAGGCCTCTTTGGGGCCCTGCCCTTTGTGTACCCCGCCCGCTCCCAGCCAGGTCCTCCATTCCTGGCTTGGGCTACACCCTACCCTGCTCCTTGGCTCCAATTTTCCTTTCTGTGTAAGGGCTAGCCTTAAAGGCTCAAAAGGGGAAACTGAGGCTGGCCCTTGCAGGTATGCAGCCATAACAGCATCTTTGGGAACAAGATCTTTTCTTTTGAGGAACTTTTACCTATTAACATCTTCTGCTGGTGCAATAAAGAGTGCATACACATAGCGTCCTAGACATGTGTCTGTGTGACAAAGGGAATAATTGTCTTTTGTGACTGAATGTCTGTGGTATCTTTGGACAAGGGCTAGGCCAGCTTTTCTTATTCACATACATGTGAATGAAGCTGTTTTCTTGCAAGAACTTGGGGGGATGTTTCTTACACATCTCTCTTCAATGAAACATACACCCTAACTTTTCTACACCCAGAGGGGAGAGCTATGTATTAGCATTTGAACATATATGCATGCACCACCACATGCCTGTCTCACCCTCTGAACACATGGTACACATCCCCACGCTGTGGAGCCCTGCAGACACAGTAAATATTTTGATGTCGTTTATCTTGGCTTCCACACGTCTGGCTCAGCTGCATTTGGTCAGTGCGTGGCTCTGGGCTTCTGCCCATTCTAATGTTGCCCCTGGCATCCCTCCGCATCTCACCCCAAGATTTCAGGGCAGATTCATCTCAGGCCCAACGTGGAGGTAACCAGAGATGAGGTCACTATCCCTCCGGGTTATGGGAAATTGCCACCAAGCCTCCCTGACAAACAAAACAAAGGCTCCCCCTCTCTTGATCTTTGGGTTTCTCATACAAAGGGACTCCCACCCTTTTTGCCCCCTGTGGCCACACCCCGAGGCCCCCCAGTACTTCTGGCCCCCCAAGCAGAGATTCTTCTCTGGGAATCTCTGTCAGGGCTTTGCTTCTTGCCACCACTAGAAAAACCAGCTCTGGCTCTAGGCCTGGGGTAAGAGCTGTCTGGTGCAGGTTTGGTGGGAAGCAACGGGGGGGGGGGGGGGCATCTGCCTGGGGCTAGAGGGAGGGGTCCAAACTGTCTAGGGTCTCATTCTTTTTTGTTAACTCTTGCCTCCCGTCACTGGCTTCACCAGAGAAGGTTGGCGTAGGTATGTTAGCTTGAGGTAAGGAAAGACAGGAAAGAGAAGCCTCCAGACCCCCCTCCACCCAAGATGATATAAACAAAGAAAAGCCATTTTGGTTCTTCCCCAGGCCCATAACCTTGGCTTTGGAATTGAGGAACTTTGAAAACCAAAACTTTCCCTCTGCCTTCACCCATCTCCCTCACTTACCCCCCACTTTTCCTAAGCCCCCCAGCTTAGTGAGAGCTTCCCAAGCCCCGGCAAAGTGCCCACCCACAGATTAGTGTCTTGGTAGGGGGAAGGGGGGCACATAAGTAACAGAGGGAAAGAAAGAAGAACAATGGGGGAGGACAGTCCATGAGACTGCCAGCTCTGCCTTAGACACAGCTCTCAGCACAGATAAGTCCCCTAAACCCCCTGGAGCCAGAGTCTGAGCCGTGCTGAGTCACCACTGTGGGTGGGAGACCCAGAATTCAACTTCTCTCAAACTCCTGAGATCTAACCTCCCACCGAAATCTGCTCACCCCCTCCTCCATTGTGGTCAGCTCTGCCTCGATCCACACCGCAGCCTTAGCTTTCAGAACAGTTTTAGAGATGTGTTGAGGGGGGAATGGGAGGGGTGGCACAGAAAGCCATGGGAACAGCTCTTCAGACAGCAGGCACCATATTGGTTTCTGTTCTAGTGAAGGAGTAAAGTACCCCCCAATATCCTCCAGAAGACAGGTGGGTACCCCCCCATTCAGAACTTAATAACTTTAGATTTTGCTCCCAGATCTAGACTCCAAAGTTCCTCTGCAAAGACTCTCTGCACTCGTGACTCAGTTTCCCCCCTTTTATTCCCATCCCTTGTTGGCCTGGTCTTTAGGATCAGTGTAAGTTTTGGAGGTCAGATATTGCGGCAATCTCTCCGTTCAGGGCCTGCCCCTCTCAGTGGCTAGCACCCATTCAGTTTGCCTGAGACTCCTGGATTCCGAGGCTGTGTTCTACAAGATGGTTGGGCACACTAACTCCTCACCACCACCCCTGTAGCTGGGGTCGTTCACCCCAGCCCCATCACCACAGAACACTAGGATAACACTGGGGTCACTGGGGCCAAGGGCTTCCCTGGGATTCTCCTAGCTCTCCACACTTGGGCGGGGAAGCAAACCTCCCTTTCTGGCTTCTCTGGGTTTGGGTAGGTCCTACAGGAAAGGGCCTGCCTACCTCTGTCATCAGGAGTAGAAGAGCAAGGATGGGGCCCCTCCCTTTCTAGGAAATTAATCTCAACAGAAAGTTGATCCTGACCCTCAACATAGAGCTTAGCACTCACTCCTAGGTCCTGCAGGACCCAAAGAGTTAGGGACTCAGATCCTATTGGAGAGTAGTTTGCAGATTCAGGCCCCTCAGCCTCAGGGCAAGAGATGGAGGAGGGAGGAAGGATTGGACCTCACCCAAAAACTCATCCCATTAAGGAGAAACAAAGAGCTGTGGTGCTGGAGGTGCCTCCCAAGCCTGGGCTCCTCTCCCTGTCCAGGGTGGGGCAGGGCCCTACGGCTCAGCGCTCTAATGGTCCTAGAATTGGGGGGGCAGGTGCCACTTTACAATAGGGCCAAGAAGGCCCAGTCCTTGGGAAGGGTCTTCTCAGTCAAAGGGAGATTGATCAATGCTTCAAACACCACAAGGACCCTACTTCAAGCCAGGAACTGGACACTCACAGAAGCCTACAGTATTTCAGGATCAAAATGTCTGCAGAGACCAGCCAGTCCTTCTTTTCCTGAAACAGAGTCTCCTAGCCATTTAATTAATGGAAGAAATGGTATCAGACCTCAAGGCCCCCAATTTTCAAATTTGAGGGGTGTTCAGAGACATAACATTAGTCTAGGTTCATAGGGGACCCTTAAGGAGATGCTTACACACACAGGGGAGCTGGAATAGAGACCATGGGACTATCTGGTCCTTGGGCTGTTGTCCTGGGAATAGCCTCCATCTCCGGGCAGGTCATGACAGCAGAAGTCCAGTGACACCTAATTCGTTACTAGCTTCCTGCACAATCCTGGAACCAGCCTTTCTCCTTGGCCTAGCTTCTCTCAGACCTGGGCAAAGTCTGGGGTGATTTTCTAGCCAGGTGCTCTTTCCCTCTCCCCTGGGCTTCTATTAGAAGGAACAGTTTTGCACCATGAAAAAAGAAAGCAGGGATAGTGTTCTTCCTGCTCTATTGACAGCATCTAGTACCCTGGCTGGACCCAGCATGCACTCAACTATGCTGCAGTGTTTTTTTGTTTGTTTGCTTCCTTGTTTGCTTCAACAAGAAGTCAGGCGACCAAGACACTAACCCTGGTTATGCTTTTAACACTGAGTAATCTTGCAGATCTCAGCTGCCTATCTGTTTCTCTTGATTTTCCCATTTGTCAAATGAAGGAGTTGAAGTGGTGATCTCTTTGATCCCACCCAAGACAGCATGACTCCATTCTTCAGGTGTGGGTAGATTCTACAGCAAAGTGTCTGTTGGGCTCCCTGGCCCAGCAGGAGGCCCCACCCTCTGGGCTTAAATAAGTAAAAAGGGCTATCTGGAAGGAAGAAGATGGGGGTAAGGGCAGGTCGCAAAGGTTGGAGCTTAGACTCCTGAGAGTAGAGAGTGGACCATTGACCCTTCAGTCCTGAGACCCAAGTGAGAGCAACCTCAAATACTGCCAGTCTAGGCATCTATGCCTTGTTCTCTTGAGCTTCAGCTGAGAATGAGGGTTGGGAGGGGATGGCCGAGTGCCGCTGGACAACTGACATCCCCTTGCTCCTACTGTCTTCTGCAGATGGAGCCGCAGAATTAGCCAATAACATCCTACTATGGTCTCATTGTGTACACACACTCTCCTTCTCTAAAAATGACACATTCCTATAATTTATATATGTTCCATACTAGGCAGGCAGAAAGTATAAGTACAGTTCAAGGCATCCCACAGAGGAAATGAAGAGGTAATGAATGAATAAAAGTGAACAATATCCCATGTAGAAGGCTTTTACCTTCTGACCTCCCCCTAATTGTTCAAGAAACCCATATCATTATTCTATACCTGTTAGTGCGTGTGCCAAGAAAAAAGGGGGGCCGGAGTAAGAGGAGTCCCTTGGCTTTCCTGTAAGGAGTCCTTCAAGAACACCCCAATCCTGGTGTTCAGAATATTATCGTGAGAGAAAAAGGAGACAGAAATGCCTACCCACTCCCTAGACATTGGGTTTCTTGCACCTGGTGTGTGATGAGGCAGTTTTGAAGCTCAGCGGGTAGGTCACAAAGCCTTGAGGAAACCCCGGGTGAGCAGGGGTCCTTGGCTTCCACCTTTCAGCCCACTTGTGGATGTATGTATGTGGTGTGTGTGTGTGTGTGTGTGTGTGTGTGTGTGTGTGTATCCACACACAGACATATATCCTCACAGAGACCTTGGCAAGCAAGGCTTTGGCAGAGATAGTTAGGGACTGCAGACATTAGGCGGCTGGTCTTGGGGCTGAGAGGGGACTTGAGAAGGAAGGGCTACGTGGGTTCTTCTGGGGCCTAATGGCAAGTGGAGCAGAAGAAAAAGATGGTCTCCTTCACCCAGAGTCCAAAGAAAAGAAATGTTTGTGTTTGTGGTGTGTTTGTGTGCATACCTGTTTGTGTGTGTGTGTGCGCGCGTGAGTGTGTGTATCTGTGTGCCTGTCTCTGCCAGATAGGGCTCGGAAACAAGAGTCTTGATGGTTCAGGCAAGTCCTACCTGTAAACGATGCCAGGAACACCAGCAGCAGCCAGGCTTCAGGGCCCCACATCTCGGCTCCCAGGGACAGGGGCATTGGCTGAAAGACAGACCTGCCCAGTGATTCTGGAGTTCCACGGAGTTCTCCCTGGGAGCCGGTTCTGGAGCTGTGTAAGGCTCTGACCCAGAAGGCAGGAGGTCACGCAGTCCCCAGGCACTGAAGTACCTGCTTCTCCCACTTGGGTCTCCACTAGGGGACCCAGGCCCCGGTTCTACCCACCCAGCCGTGGCTACCCCCAAGAAGCCGTGATCGGGAGCCCTGAGCTCCCCCAGAGCTGCTTCCCACGCCGTGGCCAACAACGAAGGCAGAAACCTGGGAACCTGCTAAGCAGGTCAGAACAGGTGCGTCTCCGGGGGCCGGGCCTGGCACAGAGAGGAGACTCCCGCAGCCACCGCCCCCACGGCCTGGGCCAGCTAATGGGCGCCAGGGAGGGAGGGAAGAAGGGAATGATCTAGGTGCCGGCAGTGGGATCTCATCCTCAACAGGGGCTTTACCTATGAGGGTATGGACAGAGCTGTGAAGGGGGAGCCCCTAGTGGGGGGGTGGGAGGCCTGGGTGCCTTAAAGAGAGAGGCACCAGGAGGAACAGGGCAAGGCCCTACTATGTGAAAAGGAAACCAACCATCTCATAGGCCAGCCAGGTCAGCTGTTTCCTGGGGTCCTTGACAAGTTCCTCAAACTCCTCAAGGGCTCAGCTGTGGTGCCCCAGAATTAGAGGAGAACTGAGGCCCATCTACCTCATCCTTCAGAAGGCCTAAAATCGGAGACTAGATTTTTCAGAGGATGGTCAAGTTTTTAGTGGTTTTCTGGAAGCAGGAAGCTTGTTCAGAGACCCCTGAGAACGAGCCTTCCTGCTTTCCTCTGGCCTTCTCCTTGCATGGGACAGGTGATGGGGATTGCCCAAGGAATTAGCTCTGCAGGTTCCTGGTTTCCTCTCAGAACCGTCTCTCCACAACTTGACAGGAGTTTTAAAAGAAGGAGGGTTTTTCTCCTTCTCTAAGGCGTGTTCCCCCATGGTCACAGGGCAGGTAGCATGTCTGGACTCTGCAAGGACGACATTGATTTCACTCTATCCCTGTACTCCTATAACACTCATACTCATCTGATCACGTATTTCCAATTTGGGTCAACAAAAGTGACAGCTGGAGAGCCAGAAGAAGGGGCGTATCTTAAACCCCTGAAGGAGAGAGAGAGGCAAGATCTCTGGAATTTCAAAGACAGGTAAAAGCTAGACATACTGGTGCATATCTGTGGTCCCAGCACTTGGGAGGTGAAGGCAGTAGGATCAAGATTTCTCAGACAGCTTTGGATACATAGAGTTTGGATACATAGAATTAGGCTATATGAAGCTCTGCTCAAACAACAGGAACAATAATTGTTTTGTTGTTTCAAGATAGGGTTTCTCTGTGTAGCCTTACCCGTCCCAGAACTCACTCTGTAGACCAGTCTGGCCTGGAAATCAGAACTCAGAAATCTACCTATCTCTGCCTCCTAAGTGCTGGGATTAAAAGAACGCACCACTACTTCGTGGCGTGAATAATGATAATCTTAAAAAAAAAAAAAAAACTGTAAATACGGAGACACATCTGGGGGAACTATGTCGGTTACGTAGGTTTCATGTACAGAAACACCTAGAAAGAATGAGGTATCAATAAGGAGGAATGTCGTTAATGTAGACTGTTTTCAACACTATTTCCCCCAGCTCTGCCTGTTCAGGTTTTTTTTGCTTCCTTTTTAGGTGGAGGTTTAGAAGCAGGGCTTTGCACACACTGGCTCTCTACCGCTGCACCTCTTCCTCAGACCCCTCACTCGTCTCTCAAAACTGACCTCAAACGCCACAGCTCCCACGAAGCCTTCTCAGCTCCTCCCACCTGAAATTAATCTTTCTCTCTTCTTCCTCGGCTTCTGCCAGTCCCTTTATTATAGCTTATGTACTCATAATTTGTACTCATCTTATCTCCTTAACTAAATTGTAAGCTTTAATGCAAGAGCCATTGATTGAGGCCTGTCGTATGGCAGAGATTCAGTAAATGTGTTAAGCTGAGGGGAAGGATGACAGCTGTCCTTTGTGAAGTCCTTCCTTGAAAGTTGGGCTTGTTTTATAATCTTGTCCAGTCAGCCATGCCAGGGCAGTTCAGCACCCCTATTGGGATTTTTTACAAAGGCCTGCATTTCTGAATAAATGAGTGTCGGTATGGAGACGATGCGAGGCAGTATCAGCAGAGATCTCAGATGATCCTGAGTTTGGTAACCAAACCTGGGTTGTGATCTGGACTCCCTGTCCTTAGAGCAGGCTGCTCTCTGGATCCCACCTCTCAGCTGTGCTTATGATAGTGACCTCTTCTTCAACGGCTCTTCCCTGCCGTCAGAGGTAGATTCAGGCTGGATGCCAAAGCTTTTTAGTTTCTCTCCACCTCCACCTTGGCAAACCCCTTCCCCTCTTCAGGACTCAGGTCCCCACCTATGCCAGGGGAACAGCCCCACCCCGATGCTGCTTTGAGATCCAGGGTGGCAGGGGTGGGGTAGGGCCAGGGGGGATGGGAGGGGGAGCATCCTGTATTATTATTATAATTATCGCACCTTGGATCCTATCACATGCTTTCAGAGGAGTGCTTTCCTTCCCACGGATTCATCCCTCTAGGTACAGGAAATCAGCGGAGAAACTGAGGCATTGGGGGCGGGAAAGCAGCTAGATCGAAAACTGAGTCTCCAGTCTGCTTTGGCTTCTCCATTCATAATATACTCTTCCTCCCAAAGTGCTACTAGCCAGAATATCTCTGAGCCCATTGATGGTGGGACCCCAAATCACTCACGCCAACTTTAGTCAGAGGGAGCACTGGAGAGAAACAGCTTCTCTGAGGTGGTATTAGGGTAATTAACACACCCACATCCTCATGGATACAGTCAGGGCCTAGTAAACAACCTTAAAATGGGGGCTGCAAGTGCCACTGGCCAGAGAGAATAAAGCAGGTACCCAACACTTTGAGGTAGGAACCTTTCTTTCCTCATCTAGCAAATATTTATCTTCAAGTCCTCTTTATTTCCTCATTCCCTTATTTCTGTACTGTCTCACGTAGACTGCACTCCCGAAGAATATGCTCTATACTCGGGCTTCCTCTAGCCTCTTCTTGGATGAATTCCAGAAAAGCCATATTTCAGGTCAAGAGCTGTATGAACATAATGGTTAAGCCTTTCCAGACCAATGTCCATATTGGTCCAATGTCCAGAGCTCAACCCTTTCTTCTACATTGACTCCTCATTCCCCTCATGCCTCACTACCTACCCTCTTCCCACCTACATTCTGAGCTTTAAGAATGGGGACAATTCAAGCCACGATGGATGGCATCCTTGGCCCATGCATGTGTCTGTGTGGCATCATTGTGCACGCCTGCAAGTGCACATTCATTCGACAGACATTTAATGAAAATCACTGTGTCAGACTCAAGGGAGGTGGCAGAGATGGAGGACACATGATCCCTGCCCTCAAGGGCCCCTCAATCAGGAGAAGACAGACACTTATGCATCTGCAACAAATTACATCCCACCACGACGTGTTCCCTCTGCGTGTCTCTGAGCAAGCATTGCTAACGTACGTGGTGCTGCCTCTGTCCATATCCACGTGGATATTAACTGCATGCGTCCAAGCACCCACTTAAACTGGTCTTAGTCCCCATGGAAGGCTGCACACCTAAGCCAAACCGGTTGGAGAGGGTTATGCTGAAATTTTTGTTTGTGACAATAGGACCTGAGCTGAGTCAGGGAGGGACAAGGCTGGGGTGGAGTGGTGTGGGGGAAGAAGAGTGAGAGTGAGGGTCAGATTGAGTGATCAGGGGAAGAAAGGAGTGGGTCAGAGTGGGAAGGGATGGGGTGGGAAGCCAAGAGAACGGGCCCCGGCTAGGAGTTAATAAGAGATCTCCTTAGTGAGTGATATTCTGTCTGCAGTGAGATTCCAGGTCAGAGTACAGACAGAAGCTTGAAGGAGACTCTGGCACACACACACACACACACACACACACACACACACAGAGAGAGAGAGAGAGAGAGAGAGAGAGAGAGAGAGAGAGGAGGGTGAATAGTAAATCAGAATGCAACTAGGTAGAAGCATGGGTGTGGATGAAATGATGGTGCTCCGTTTCTGTGAAGCTCTGATAATCTGTTCCTCCTTTGCTCGTCCTCCTGCCTCCTGCAGGGTTGGCACAGAAAGCTCTGGGGTTCTGACACACATGGTGGACAATTACTGATAACTTGACTTGACTCCAACCCCAGGACTGAGGCTGCTTCAAGTAGCTTTGTGTTCACTTCTTCCGTTCCTCCACAATCCTTTCCACTTATGGAGACCTGGAGAAAGACTCCCCCTCCCCCATACACAACACAGAGACCCCAGAAGCCCTTCCTACACTGAAAAATGCCTTTGCTTCCCCCCACCAACACACCCAGCCTCAATCCTTATCATGCCCAATATTGGGACGGTGGCACCTTGTTTCCTGAGATATCCCATCTAAATGTTGCTATGTGCTGTGCTGTTCTTATCTGCCAATCATGCAGTCTCAATACCCAGCCCATCTTTTAATGACAACCACATTTCCTGCTTGCCTAACAACATCCCTTTGAGCTCAGGGGGCTGGGCCTCCTTATTCCTCAAGGGTTCTAAAGCGGAGTAAGCCAGCCAGGAAAAGAGAGGGCTGAACACAAGGCCCACGAGGCAAATTTGGGTCCTGTTTCTCAACAGACCCAGGTGAATGCAGAGCACCTCCTCTCTGCTCTCACTCAGCCTCTATGAACGCACTTCCGCAACCTCGGCGACGAGAACATGGGTTAAGAGACAAAAGCCTTTTCTATTTTGCCTGTGTTTATGGATGGGCTGACACTTTTAGAATGCTGGTGGAAAAGGCCCTAGCTGGCACCGGATGAGAATAGGAACTCTCGTGGTAATCAAGTCTTCTGAGTGGTGACAATAGCGGCAGAAGATGTAATGGGGCTAAGGAAGCAAGAGCAAAGGGAAGAAGGGAGCCTGAGCATTTGGTGGGAAAATGGATTCTAGTGAGGTCCTTGGCTGTATCTTCCCTGTCCCCACTATCCATCATAGAAAGAGCTGGGTTCCTTCCATCTGTATATAGAGACAAGCCCTTGGAGGCCAGTCTATCCTGCCTCCCAGCTTTACCTTGAAGTCTTCCCAAACTGGTTTCTCCTTCAGTTACAGAAGCAGCGTAAGTGTGGAAGAGTGAGGCATCAAGAGTGTCCACTTCCACTGGTAACTAGCAAGGTCAAAGGTCTCGGTCTGTGAGCTATAAGGAAAGAGGAACAAGGAACGGCATCTAACCTACCTTGTCAATGTTTCCCTTCCTGCATCTATGCTTATACTCACTA